TAATCAATCCTAGATAAGACTAACGAAGTAACAAGAAGGAGAAGAGTAGGATCATCAAGAAAAGGCAAAAGTTTTTTTATTCTACGTAGATGAAAGTAAGAGCTTCTAGCAACACTATTAATCTGAGAAGAGAGAGACATAGTAGAATCAAAGATAAAACCTAGACTACGAAACTTATGAGAGACATCAAGAGTTTTAGAATCAGGTAAGATAATAGGAGGATGTGTGCTAATGATTTGTGCTAAGAGATCGTGTGCTAATGATTTGTGTTTTTGTGCTATATTTGTCTGTCTGTTCATCACACGCAGATATTTATTTTTAAAACCAGTGTACGCCGATGTGTAAATTATTGCAAGTACTTGTGGAGTTGATGTCATTTGTATTTTGTATTTATTTACATTTATTGAAATGAAAAATTGATGTTATGAAAAATTACGTTTAATTCAACTTAAATTCTTCATGCTTATTCGCTATAAGCACGAAAGGCTTTCCAATGCTTTTGAAATCAACATATATCGAGTAAAAATATAGATTTGAATGCTGATTAGCTATTACTTTAACTAATTTCTCTGTCAACATTTTCATTTTTGCCAAATGCAGCAAACATATTTAGATGGTCCAATTAATATATATATATATATATATATATATATATATATATATATATATATATATATATAGATAGATAGATAGATAGAATGGACATAATTGTAGTAGCACATGATTCAACACACACACACATACCCGAACGCACGCACACACACCACATACACAAACACACATATACACCAACATACCCACAGACACACACACGTGTATACATAAGTATATATACATGTATATGTGCATGTGTGTTTTTATTCATGTGTAAGCGCTTAAACCTAAGTTTTTGGCTGATAATTTCAAGTAATTTACATCAATGTGACTTATACTTAAACGCTTTTTATGGAGAATGTTCTCCAGGTACTTTGTTGCGACAAAGAAACTTATTAATTTTTGTATGTTCTCCAGAAACTTTGTTGTTTCTTTATGTTACAATGTTTTTGTTTGCTTATACTTTTCTGTGTCTAGATAAAGGTACATCTTCCTCTGTATCCTAGTATTTGCTCTGTCCACACAACGAAGGGCCATTAATTTCCAATGCAAACTTTTCATCCATTGTATGCCTAGTTTTTATTTGTTTATTCATATAATTGCAGAAATTAGACAATTTACAAAACATAGAAAGAACAAAAAACTAAATATCACCTGACATAAACAAATCATAAAAATTGCATTTCATTTTTGTTCTAATACAGGGGTGGGCAAACTTTTTGCTGTGAGGGCCGCATTGAGAACTATTTGACCTTTGAAGGGCCGCACATTTACTTAAATAGCAAATTTTTTCGACTCGGGGGAAAGTTTTTCAAGATTTTTGGCTCCTTTTTTTGTCATAATGTTTGGCTGACGATACCCCTTTTGACTGAAAGTACCAATAGCACTAATTTGTATTTTTTTTTCTCAACGCTGCTACATAGAAGACATTTCATTTATGCTAATGCCATTCAGTGGCTAATATATAACATCAAAATGACCTCATAACGTTAAATCATTTGAATTGGCGGTGAATAAAACAAGTTTTTGAAAAATAAACGTGGCAGAGACGGCGAAACTTGACTTTAAATTCAGAATTTTTTAATAATGACACTAACGCGTAGACACACGCACGCACGCACGCACGCGCAAACACGCACGAGCGCAAACACACACACGTACACATAATACACGTAACATGATCAAAAATATACAAGCTATTCATACATTAATGAGTCCCTCAAAGCGTAAATGATATTGAATCAATTCGACTAATGCACTTGTGTTCCTGTGTTTTTATATGGGATATTCATTCATTTATATCACTATTTTTTGTCCGTCTAACTATTCATTCGTTTTTTCATCCTTCTTTCGTCCAAAGTTATGTTCATTCATTCATTTTTATTTATTCAGACTTTCATACGTTTTTCTAACCATCTAGCCCTTTATATGCTTATCTACTTAATCATTCCTCCACCCATTCATACATACATACGTATATCCATCTATCCATTCATCCATCCATTCATCCATCTATCCAACCATCCATCCATCCATCCATCCATTCATCCATCCATTCATCCATTCATCCATCCATTCATCCATTCATCCATTCATCCATCCATCCATCCATCCATCAATACAGGTTGTTTGGCAGACAGTTGGAGACTAATGAACATGTGTTGCTCGTTTTGCTTTCAGAGTTAATTAAAACACCTTAGGTAAGGTTCCACTTGTACGTATGTAAGTATTGAAATAGCTCCGACGCCCTTTCAAAAAATACAATGTTTTCATATGTACCTGCCAATTAAGAGAGTATAAAACAAAAACAAACTAAACCCGCATAAACATGTTATTAACGAAATCATAAACCGTTCATCGTTCGTTTTGTTTTTCCGTCATTCGGTTTGTCATTCATTCATTCAGTCATTCATTCAATCATCCATTTTTATTCATTCATCCATTTTTTCGTTTTATAATACTCCCAAATCAATAAAGGCGTAGCATTTTTTTAAAGTTAAAAATTTAAAGGCCATTATTTTATATAAATTCAAACCAGGTTTTTATCACCTTTAATTTTTTTTTAACCCCCGGCCGGCCGGCCCAAACATATATATATATATATTTATATATATTTCTTTACATATATACACAATGCACATACATACACATACATACGGCAATGTATAAAACACTGAATGTATAATAGAGATTGCAAAACATTTTGATCTGCCTAATCAAATCTAGCGATATGTGTTCAATATCCATTTTATTTGTTTAAAAAACTTTTTAAAATCAATCTAGTATCTATATTTGTATGTATGCTGATATAAATAATAAAACAAATAATAAAAGCCTTGAAATAATTTTCAACAGAAGACAAGCTACGTAGTCACTGATTCGATTTTAATTGTGCAAACAAGCATTGAGCCATTCAAAGGAAACAACAAAATGGTGTTCGACGCGACTGTTAACGACGCATTCGCCGATGTGATTCACCCTCAGCAACATGATTCTCAACGTCAAGGTCAACAAAGTCAACATCAGATGCAGTGCAAGCCACACCAACAAAGCCAGCACCTGGAACCTGAACTGGAACCACAACATCAGCAACTACAATTTTTCCAACAACAGCGTTTTATTTCTCCAGTTCAGCAGCATAGTCTGAACGGCGTCGATGACAGTTACGATTTGTTACCATTTAGAGACGACTATGATTGTCAGAGCAGTGGAAAATATGATCATGTACCCTCAGCAAAACAACACAGCTACCAACAACACGAACTACAGCCCCACCAACAACAACAACAAGTCGAACAACATCGCCAACCTCAAGTACTCACCATACACAGCCATCCAACTCCTGAATTATATTTCGAAACCGACCAATTTTGTTTCGAAGAACACCCAATTTCAACAACAACACCAACCGATTGTTTCTACAACCACAACAACTCTTTATTTCAGCCTGATAGCCACAGTTTCAACAACCTTCCAGACTCCGATTTCTTCCCAACCGGCAATGATGATTTCTACAACTGCTGCAACTACTACACAGAATATGCTCCATTTTACAACGACCAATTTTTGACAGCGGCGCCAAAAAATTTTTCAACAAACCAGCCATACCTTCCATCAAGTGTGCATCCAAATTTCTCATCAGAAACTTCTCCAGAGAAAGCAGGTCAGCATGAGAAAAAGTTTAGCAACGTGCTGAAGCAGCAAACTTCAACGTATAAATGGCTCACCATCAGGAGATGCAACCCGAAAAGTACGATGAAGAAATTATTTTTAGATTTTAATGTAACATATTCACTTATTTTTTTATTTATTTTATCAACTTATAAATCTAACACGAATGAAATTGTTAATATTTTGAATGAATGTCGCTGAACTACTGATGAAATGAACTTGCCCACTACGTGACTCATCACAGGTGCAAAGAACAAAAATCATCCGAAACCAGACGTTGCAGAAGAAAATAAAGTAAAAGAAGATGAACGCAGCACGTGCAACAACACAAACAACATCAACAACAACTTTAACAACAATAGTACAACAATAACGAACCGCAATATCATAACCGGCCTCAACGAAATTTCGAATTGCGCGTTTTACAAGCCACACCATCAAACTGGGCAGATGTACAAATTTCAAGTTTTCCAACATCAACAACAACAACATCCAGCCTGTGGCATCGACAACGTTTATTTTAATCAACAAAATTATGAATACGAATCTTCACAACAACAACAACAACAACAAAAGCAATACGACCAAATAAATCACATAAACTCTGGACCAAATGTGATGACATATGAAAATCTCATAAACAACAATGACATTAACAGCAATTATAACAGCATAAACAATTCTTCAGTTCTAGCCGAATATAACAACCTATACAACTACAGCAACAACATCAACGCCAATTATGAAAACATGGCGAACGGGACCAATCCAGTTAGTAACGACAATCACATCCCAAACAGTAATAACAACGAGCCGTTTAATAACCACCCGACGACCGCACCCAGTTTCATGAACGACAGCGTTAACAACAACAACAGCAGCAGCAGCAACTTAGGTAGAACCAACTTCACTAACAAACAACTGACGGAATTAGAGAAGGAGTTTCACTTCAACAAATACCTAACTAGAGCCCGACGTATTGAGATAGCCTCGACATTGGGACTCAACGAAACTCAAGTTAAAATTTGGTTCCAAAACCGGCGTATGAAACACAAAAAGAGATTGAAAGAAAGCAACAACATAATAAACGTTCACAGTATCAACAACGTTAATAGCGCGTCTAACAGGGTAGCTGCTAACGATAGCAACAACAACAACAACATCGTACAAAACCTCAGTAACGGCAAAAACACTGACTACGAAAAGGAAGACAAAAATAAATCACTAACGGCTTGTCTCAATGACACAAGTTTCAGTAGTAGCTGCAACAGTCGCAGCTTCAACGACGACAACACCAGTGATAGTTGCAAAAGCTCCAACAATAAGAGCAATAATAATGATGATTCTCATGAAATTGGTGAATGCAACAGTTGCAGCAACATTAACAATGACGGTGATAACTTCGGTAGCAGCGCTTCTCTCAGCGGCAGCAACAAAAGCAATACATTTTTCTCTGACTCACAACATATTGTGCAACAAAATCAACACCAACAACAGATTTCATCACAAAATTTTCAGATACAACTACCAACGCAACAACAACTCAACATAAGTACAATGGCGCATGCACTCAATACAACTACAAACAGAACAACTACAGTGGTGTCGAACGATCACGTGGGTAACGACTTCCGGCAAGTTCAAGACAACTTCCGGTCAAAATACAGCTGTTTCCGTCTTTCTGATGACGTCATCTCAACGTCTATGAAATCTAAAATTTTAAAAGCAGCAGCATCTGAGGATCGATGTGCTAACGACACTGTCTCATGTTATCCATTTCGCCACGTAGAATTCACACTGAGCTAACTCTAAGGCAGCTCAAATCGAAGAAGTCTCATGTTTCTACATAACATAATTTTTGTTTGCGCGCTGACTGAGTTCAATTGCACGATAATCTGATGCTTAGCTTCGGCGAATATGTGAATGGATGCGCGGGTATATTGTGTAGAAAAAGGCTGCAATTCAGTTACTTAATTATCAGAGTGCAACTAAAATTTTTGATGGGGGGGGCCTAGAGTCCCTGTACTATTCATGCGATGTGAACAAACATTTACTTGGTTTATTGTTGGTTAACCATTCATTAGCAGTTAAATACTTTTATAGTATACATATACTATACATAAATAACTGAAATACGTTTGAATTGTAACGGTATTGTACAGCCATTTTCTCATAGTAAATAAAAACAAAATGTCAAACACACATCATATACTACTGCCGTTGATTTGTTGTCTTGTTGTTGTTGCTTATGAATTTTCCTGTAAAAACCATAAAAACCGAGAACAGATAAATTACGTCATATCACGTGAACAAAACTTTGAAAAATCAAAGATTAAAGATGGTGAAATTAATTCATTATTTATTTACAACAATTTCATCGTGTTGAACTCGTAAAAATATTTTTAATCTTTTGTTTTTTCATTTTTGTAGAAGAAAAAAATTAATTATTCAACGAGCGTAACATTTCAAGTGTTCCTGGATCAAGTGTCTTCTGGTTTAAGTAAACAAGCATAAGAAACTCGGACAATTATTGTATTTAGTGTGACCTGAAAACGATAATACAACTTTTACGATGTTTCTGTCACAAAATTTGTACACAAAAACTAGTTGAATTCGATAAATCAATGATATTTTATACAACAGAACTTTTACAATGGTTTATTGCTCTTGGTATAATTATGATTCGTTGTGATATATATTATATATATATATCCATGTTTGGTGTGATTATTAGTTTGACTTTGTACGGTCGTCAACAAACGAGCGATAATTTAACGATACTTTTATTTTATTTGTTTTAGAGAGTTTTGTTTTAGAGTTTTCTCGGTTTTTCTTCGAATAAAATTTTCTCAAAAGTAAGATGGCTCAAGTTCCTGCCAGGAGAATGCTAGAAATGGAAGAAGAAATGAACAGGTTAGGAGGAAAACTTATTTTCCCTGTGTTCTAGACATTTTTTAAATTTCTGTGTAATTTGTGATAGCTTTGGGATGCTTATTAGATCAAAATTATTTTAAATTTAAATTTAATTATACTTATGCTCTATTACTATTTTCTACTACTATCAGCTAATGGGATTTTTACATTTGATGTATTTTAAAACACTAACTACTAACAACAGATGAAACATTTATTTAATATTCAAAAGAAGTTTAAGCTGTTTTTTATAGTACACTACATGTGGGTCAGCCAATTAGTCTGGCCCCACTGCATGTGTGTCAGCCATTTAATCTGATCCCGCTGTATGTTATTGAAACTCCAGGTTTGAGGAAGAAATCCTGAGTACAATGGATGATGGCAGTCATCGTTTTCAACAACCACCTCCATTGAACCATGGTCCACTGAATCACGCCCCTCCAATGGGTCACGCTCCTATTCATCAAGGTCAAGGTCCGATGAATCATGGTCCGCCTATGAACCAGGTCCAGATAAATCAGGGTTCAATGGTTCATCATCCTATAGGTATTAAATTAATTAGTTACAATATTACATTTTAAGTATTTAACTTGATTTACTTTGTAACTATTGTTAACTTTGATCTACTCGATTTACTAGTTTAATAACTAGATTTGTTTGTTTGTAACACAGTTCCTCCTCCACCACCACCGCCGTCATTGGGAGTGCAAGTTCGACCGTTCAACATGATCCCAAGTTTCATTCCTCCTCAGTTGAGGGCCCGACAAATGATGCTTCCTCCCCGTCCGCCACCAATGCTCCTCAGACCCATGCCTCCTGCTAGTTAGTATTCTTATCTGATAGATTATTAAATAACAACGTTGGACCAGTCATTTTAGACGTATTTTCAAATTTTTATTTTTTTTATCAAATTTTAATATTTTATTAAATATTTAATAATAACTATTGTTCTTTCCACAGTTCCAAATGGATTCCAGTCAGCCCAGGCTCCATCAATGATGAGCCGAGTACCTCCGCCTAACTCATTCAACTTCAGTTCATCGAACAAATCCGAAGAAACTCAGTACCATCCAAAGATTACAACACCCTCAGTTATATCTGCTACAAAAGTCGTATATTCTGCACCTCCAGTAAAAAATGTAACAGACAAAAAATCAACAGAAGCCACGAAACAAGCAGCAGCAGCCTCTAGTTCTTCTACTTCAGCTTCTTCAACTACATCGACAAATGTTAGTGTAGTTGCTGCAAGTGCTACAAATGGTGTCACTGTTAAAACAGAATCAGGTGTTAGTAAGAAAAAAGAAAATGATGATTTGATTGGTCCAAGTGCTAAGATGGCCAAGATGGAGTCTCTTGTTAAAGCTCCAATCAGCAATGTCAGTTTTTAAAACTTTAAAATTGTTTTAAATTTATGAACTTCTGTAGAGTTTTTATTTACATTTGTGATAATCATTTTTTCATGCTTTCTTAGTTGAGTTGATTACTTACTTTATTGCCAACTTTTTATATGAGGACTAATTTAAAAGTTTTTGAAAATTTTTCTGAAAAATTCATTAAAAAATTAATAAATTTTTCCTCTCCTACAGTCAAAAATAACAGTTAATCTTCAATCGAAAAACATTGATGGTACGAAAAAATCAGCAACAACACCAACGATGACATCATCTTCATCTTCTTCCTCAGCGTCTCGATCGACCACCAAAGCTTCAGCAGCAGCAACCACAGCATCGAATCTCTCATCTACCAAGCCAACCTCAGCAGCAGCAGCAAGCAGTCTGGCTTCAACTTCGTCATCGTCAGCAGCAAAACCATCAACATCAGCATCATCTGGTGGCTCCAAAGATAAGAAAGATAAGAAGGAGAAGAAGAGGAAATATGTCAGGATGGCAGCTGGAAATGTTTGGGAGGATGTCTCACTCAATGAATGGGATCCAGGTGAATTTTTTTTTGTTGATTTAAAATTTGTGAAATTTTTTTTCAAGTCAGAAATTTTTGAAATTTAAAAATTTGTTTATTAAATATTGACTGTATTGTTAAGCTCTGGGTTATATATTGAGGTTGTTTGTTGGCTAAAATACTTCTGTTTACAATAAGTTATTTACATGGTTTTTGTAAAATATTTCACTTATATTGGCATTAGTTGATTGTTGCCGGGGTACAGCATTACTATCTGCAGTTTTTAATCTAAATCTTTATATGAAAAACAAAAACGTGACACTTGCTTCCTACCTACCAGATGACTTCAGATTATTTTGTGGTGATCTCGGGAATGAGGTGACAGATGACGTTTTGAATCGGGTCTTCTCCAAATATCCTTCCTTTCAAAAAGCTCGAGTTATAAGGGACAAACGAACGAACAAAACCAAAGGTTTGTGGTGAATGGTTGTGTGTCTGTGAATTGTTTGTTTGCAAATGTTAATAAATCGTGTAAATTGTTCTTCGTGTTAAAGTGTGAACATTGTTTTTTGTTAGCCATCAGTATTGTTGTTCACTTTTCATTTCAGTTCCATTGTGTTTTTTTTTGTCCATAATTGTTTTATTCATTGTCCATAATTCCACACCCGGCTGATTCATATGTTCTATTGTTGTGAGATATTAAATCAGAAATCACAGACATGCAAGCTTCATTTAATTTCAGATAAAATACATATTGCCTAATGATAAATTTTCTCTTTTGTTTTAGAACAATGAATCATAACCAAACAAAATATGCTACCCACTACAATCACAACTTGATTATCAGGAAAATACACTTGTCTGTTTTTGTTCATTTAACAGGATTTGGATTTGCCAGTTTCAAAGATCCAACAGACTTTATGAAGGCGATCAGAGATCTCAATGGTAACAAAATGATAGTCTTTGCTGTTCTATTTGTTGTTTTTGCTGTTCTATTTGTTGTTTTTCTGTTATATTTGTTGTTTGTGCTGATATATTTGTTTTATATAGTGTGTTTTAGAGCTGTGTTCTTGCTCCTATCTTCTTCTAGTTTGTATTTTAACTAAGTGGATTGGCTAATTAAAAATATAATATCAAAATACGTTTTTTCATTTTACAATTATAAAATGAAAAACATTTATTATTCCAATTTTTCTTATGCCCCACTTCCCACCAACCAATCAGGCAAGTACGTTGGAAATCGTCCAATCAAATTGAAGAAGAGCTGCTGGCAGGATAGGCAATATGAGAACATGAAGAAAAGAGAGAGAGAGAAGAAAAGGCTTGGATTCAGATAGATGATGATGGGTGATGTCATATTATCGTGACGTCATTGCTGATGGGAACGTCATATTATTATAATTATGTCATCTCGCCATTCTTTCATACTATGATGGTTTTATGGTGTTGTCGTTTATCGATACAGTAATTGTAAATTCGAAAATTTTATTAGGTTACAAAAAAACAGTTGACTTTTTGGTTAATTTATAACATTTAAGCGAACATTAAAGTTTGATAGTTAAGTCAGTGATCAATGATTTATTATCGAATTAATCAACGTTTATTATCTGAAATGAGTGATTAAATTTTAATATTTCAGCTCTTCATTCTTATTCCATCTTTTTTTTCCTGGTTTTCCTCAGCTTGTTCTCACAATCACTTGGTCGCTAGACATTGGCAAGTCTATATATATATATATATGGAGAAAAAAAGTTCATATAATTTCACTCTATCATTATGATATAATGTTCTGATTATGGTTTATCCTGTACGTTTAGCTAATGAGATTAGGTGATGGAGACGATGTTCTTTATAAATTTACTGGTCTGATTGTCGAATGATATTATGACATGATAAATTAATATTTTGACAGCATCAAGCCAAGTTTTGTAAAGTAATTCGATGTAATGATAGATTATTAATGTAAAAAAAGACGTTTAAAGATATGAATTTAATTGTGTACAGCCTGACCTGACAGCCACTCGTATTATATTCGTATCCTGAAGTGCAGTTTGTCGTGCAGTCAACTTTTGCACAATCTAGTGTCATTCGTAGTTTATTAATTTTTATAATTAACTAACACAATTGAATGGAAAAATTCTCAAATTATTCTACTTGAATGGAAAAATTCTCAAATTATTCTACTTGAATGGAAAAATTCTCAAATTATTCTACCAATGTACTAACCACACTTCTTTGTCCACTTGCTGCATGTAAAATTCGCAGGACAGTTCTCATTCTATATGATAAATTTTGTGAAAGCCAGACTTAATTATTTGTATACTTTTTTGGCTTATTATTATCAATAAGAGTGGAATGGCTACCCCGGTGTTAACTAAATTTTTGGTTATGTCTTCCGGATTCAGACGGTCTTCATTCAAATTAACGTCTGATCCCGAATGATAAAAAATAGGATTAGAAAATATCGAGATCGCCATGCCTTTGTTATAAAACATACTAACTTGGCAAGTGCCTGAATTCACGCCACCTGGAAAATAGTGAAATATTTTCTAGAATACGTGAGTGCCAATTCATCATACACACACCATGTCAAAACCGTTTAATAAACAATATAATCAGTATTTTTTCAACCGCACCCCTACTGTGCGTTTAGGAGTTTGTTTGTTAGGAAGGATTAAATGGTGTTTGTTTGAGATTTAAATGAAATTTTTCATGAATGGAATTATAAAATAAATTCTAAGGACGTAAAATTATGATATTCTTAGTACATTCGACGCAAATGTTTTTACTTGATGGTTGAAGATTCGGCGTAGGTGGTTGCTGACATGAGCAATTTTGGCAGTTGTTTTCGTCCCACGCATATCCGTAGACGCAATCCAGATCACAAAGCAAGTCCGGACAATCTAAGCTTCGTAAAATCAGATTTATTTCACTTTATATTTAAATTTTTTTAATAATTTTTTAATATAATAATCGTAAATTGGCTGACGTATCTACCGTATTCATAATCATTGCATTGTATGACAGTGGAAAATAAAGAAACTGTAGATAATATAATGAAATAAATGTATGAGAACATTTTTAAAGGTTTAATATTGTATAATAAAACATATAAACGTTGGTTATCAAATATTTATAGGGTTTGATCATCAATATATATATATCCACTCGGGTGGATCCTATATATCCATTGGTGGATATATATATATATATATATATATATATATATATATATATATATATATATATATATATGTATATATATATCCATGGGTTTGATTGGGATATCCATGGTTATACCCTAACTATAAGATGTCTTTTCGTTGGCTAGAAATTCAATCATTAAAGAAATCAATGCTTGGTAATTAAATTTCGTTAATTAAAATGATAAATTGGATGTATGTTAAAAACCTTTCTGATGAGAGTTTGGTTGGTCGATATTTAATAAAATATGTGTCGATAATTCTTCAAAAATATAATTAAAACAATTCTAATTGTTCAATTATTCGTCCGTTATAAAGGTGATTGCCAAAAAATTCAGTTTCACTCATGGATATATATAGATATCCATGATTTCACTATTATACGTCTATGATTGTATCACTTCAATTCGATTTTGGGGAAAACATTGGACTGATTGATTGAGCGGTTGATTAATTGACTTATTTGTTGGTTGACTGGTTAATTGATAGTACAGTACCAAACAGTATCTTATTGAACAATGTAGCATCATAAAGTGAATAAAGATGTAGCATCATAAAGTGAATAAAGATACTTTTTTCAAAAAATTTAAAAATTTCAAATTTGATTTCATTGCGATATAGACGATGATGATTGTGACTGACTAATTAAAAAACATCAAATAAAACTTATAAAATAGGATGGGCAAATGACGTCATGTTAACAGTAGTTATTTTAATGCCTGTTAGGGAATTAGCAGGTATAAAGGTTTTATTCAATTCCTATCAAATAAATTTGACCAAATATCATACGCAGGCAAAACTAAATAAAGAAATAGATAGGAGATAGATATATGTAGATATATAGATATTTATTTATTCATTTATTTAGAAATATTTATATAGCGCAAATTAAATATATATATATATAATGTTATATTTACAATTCAAATTGTACAATTGTGTTATGGTGTAGTCTCAAATTATTTTGAATTCTCTCAGAAAAATTTAAACTTTTTACTATATACTAGTTACTTTTGTCAACAATTTACAAAATCTAAAAAAACTGATAAGGATAAAAAGAAATAGATTGCGAGATAGTTTAATTTTCGTGTTTTAATGATTGAATGGAATTACTTGGCAAATAAAACTTGTGTATATGTTCTATTTTAATTAAATTTTGAATAAAATATTTTTTAAACTCGCTCGCGTCATTTCTTTGAATTCGATATTTGGGATATTCGTATAAAAAGCGAGCAAAATTTTAATATTAATGAGCTTATAAATCTACGCATATTGGCTCAGCTTGGCTTGGCTCGGCTTAGAATTGGATGTTAAGCAAGGTGTCTCAAGCTATTTTGAATTCTCCCAAATTATTAAGTTTATATGTTTATAAAAAAGCAATGTAGCAGATTCAACCAGCCAACCAGAAAGTTTCGAAGGCGTTCGTTCGTTGACGTCAATTTAGTACAGTGTTATTAAGACTATAATAGTGTAGTACATATATTAAATAAGTTTTTTACTGATGTGAATGATTGAAATGATGAGAATGTATGGTTGAAACGAGTATAAATAGGAGCTGAGACAGCATGAAAAATCTGATCAGGCATTCTGCTTCGTTTGAGGCTTGAAGTGGTCTGCCTGATCTCACTTATTTTATTTATTTTTATTTATTTTATTATATAGAGTTATATAGATAGTTTTTTTTCGTTTTTTCATAATTCATTATTCTTCATTGGTTACTCATTGGTTCATTTATTCGGTTCATTCAGTTTGATTTATTGGTTAATCGGTTGGTTGGTTGGTTGATTGGTTGGTTGGTTGGTTGGTTGGTTAATTGGTTGGTTGGTTAATTGGTTGGTTGGTTAATTGGTTGGTTGGTTAATTGGTTGATTGGTTAATTGGTTGGTTGGTTAATTGGTTGGTTGGTTAATTGGTTGATTGGTTAATTGGTTGATTGGTTAATTGGTTGGTTGGTTGGTTAATTGGTTGGTTGGTTAATTGGTTGGTTGGTTGGTTAATCGGTTGGTTGGTTGGTCGGTTGGTTAATTGGTTGGTTGGTTAATTGGTTGGTTGGTTGGTTGTTTAATAAATGTTTGGATAGATGGGTGGTTAGTTGAACATTCGAATTTATTGGCTGTGTGTTTGGTTGATTTGACCACGTCCATACTCACAAGCATACATATATACATGTATAGTATATATAAATGTGTGTGCACATGTGTGTTATACAAAATGTATGTGTAAAGTTTATCTATCTTTGATACTTAACACAAGTGTTATTATAACCATATATATATATATATATATATATATATATATATAATAGTTATATTCCATATATATTATATTAAATATACATATTGTAACAACCTGAATTGACTTTTAGTTAAAAATCTAAAATGGTAGATTCACCTTTCAAAAACAAACAGCGTTTTCTCATGATGAGCTTGAAATAGAAAGCGAATGATGGTACATTAAGATTAGAAGTTTGTTTTGCATATTTCCGAAAATTTTCAGTGTTTCCTAGACATCATAATCGTAAGTCAATAGTTTTTTTTTTGGTTTCTAGTATTTAATTTACCCATTCTGATATCAGTCTGTACTGTTGTACAGTACAGTGTACTTTGAACTGGTACTCTCTTACTTTGCTTTTCTTCATTAACTACTAACTCTAACTCTAAATTTATAACTTAATTTAGCTTTACTCTACTCACTGTTTGTGTGTTTGTTAATGTTAATTTTTAATTTAGTATTAAACTATTAACAAACTTTTAACAGCTAGTTTGTTACTAACTTCTCAAACTAACCTGTCTAACATTTTTTAACTGACAAACTGCTAACTCTCTTAGCATCTTTCTTAGCCATTTTCATTTTTGTTATTCATTTTGATCAACAATTCAGAAGAATCGACTACCTACCCATCAAACAAAATGACATCATCATCTAAACTGGCATTTTATTTTACTTGCGGAAGAGGAACTGAAGTTTTTGTATGTGCCGAACTGAGAAAATCATTCATTGATTATTATACCAGCAATATAACCAATGACATCACAAAGGTAGGACGATTAAAATGTTATGATATGAAATTATTGTGATATATATATATATATATATATTGTCTTACCATAATTATAATAATTTAATATATAATTGTATATTTACATCAACTATATTTACATTTAACTTTAAATTGAATAATTGATTAATTAAATAATTTTGATTGAATTAGGATATAAATTATGAGGGTGGAAAGGTTTTCGTCTCGATCAACGCCACCACAGATAAAAAATTTCATTTGTACAGACTGCTAACCGGCATGAAATTCCCTGAAAGATTGTTCAGACTGATCGTGAATGTGCCGATCGACAAAAGAATTCACTCATATAAGCACGGTGTGTGTTAATTATTATTAATCACAAAAATTATTGAAAATAATAGTAATAATTATTATTATCATCATATTATAATACTAAAGATACTAAAGGCAATAATTAATAATAAAAATAATAATAACTGGCTTATATTGTTAGGGTTATAATGGTAGAACAAACCAATAAACTAAACATTAATATATGTGTATATATATATATATATATATATATATATATATATATATATATATATATATATATATATAATATATTGTTTTTTCATTAATATTTTTGATTATTCATAAATAATTTTTTTCACAAATTACATATCCTCCAGCTGTTTGGTTTTTAAAATCAAGCTTAGAAAAAATAACCGTGAGTGACTGGACAGATACATTGTTAACTTCTACAACTAGTTAGTTATTAGGTCATTTATTCTTTTTATAATAATAATTTTAATAATAATATTAATATTAATTTTTATTATTATTAGTAGTAGTAGTGGAGGTGGTAGTAAAAATAGTAGATGTGGTAGTAGAAGTAGTAGTAGTTGTCGTCGAAGTGATTGTCGTAGTAGGAGTAGTATCTTTATTATTTTCAGTTTTTTTCAATCATTTTTTGTTTAAAACTTCAAAATTAATAAATAAACTACATGCCTTATTGTGTTCTAAATGAGTAAGCGATACAATTTTCTGAACGTTATATCGCAACATCATGATTGCATTGATGTAGTTTTGTATAACTTTCTGTTAGTATAACTTTCTGTTAGTATAACTTACTGGAAAAGTTACATCATTAATGTGATTCAATGTAATGTAATTGGTTAATTTCACCAAAGATGGAAAGAATAGCGACAATGGCGTTGACAATGATGGCGATGATGATGATGAAAATGACAATGATGATGATGAAGTTAAAAATGATGATGAAGATGATGAAAAGGAGGAGTGCACCAAAGACGACGATGATGAATGTGAGTTAATCATTAAAAAGAGAAAAGTTTCAGGCAAATCTTTCAGGGTTTCAGCTAAATGTTCTGGCAGCATTAGTAAACTGTTTGATACTAATGTGAGAAGTTTTCTGGCCTTTTTAAATAATAGTTATTATTATTATTATTATATAATAGTTATTATTATTATCATTAAATTATAATTATTAAATAATAATATTGATATTTATTTATTTATAACGTGATAACAAAAATAAATTATATTATTTGTGATGATGATGACGATCGTGATAATGATGATGACAATGATGATGACGACGACTATGACGACGACGACGATGATGATGTATCAATCAGTGATATTACGTAATAGAGTGTTACGAAATAAGCCTCTCTGGAAATTATATTTTGAAGAAACTCTCAAGCATATGTGGGTGCAAGATTGTTGAGTTGACTGGCTGGCAGGTCGAATTAAGGAAACCAGATGTTGAGGTCTGTTAATTTGTTCGTTCGTTCATTCGTTTGTTCGTTCGCTCGCTTGCTCGTTCGTTTGTTCTTGGTTTGTTTAATTAATTATTTAATTAGCTAATTTATTCATGTAATTTTTTCATTATATTCATTCAGATTTCTTTACAATTGAATGACAAGCGTTTTATTGTCGGGACACCAGTGCTAAAGTAATTAAGAATATTTTTTTCCATAACTTTGAAAAGTTTAGCAAAAATGTAAAAATATGTAAAAAGGCATATAGAAAGAAATATTTATGCAATATAAAACATGTAAGCACACAGGCACATACACGCACGCATGCACACACACTAATACACACAACCGATAATAAAATTTTTATCATCTACACGTTACAATTCATATTTTAACTCCAAATTTTGAAATTTTTTTCAAATTTTCAATTCAAGTTCGCTATTATCGAAAAGAAGATATTTGAAACACATAGGCCTTAGAAGCACGATTGCATCCATTATAGCATCTCTATGCTCATTGAAGGTAAACATTACCTTGTAGAATTACATATAATTTATTATGCGTATTTTAAAATTACTTGGAAATGGTTCAATTTCCATTCCAAATAACAACCATCAGGCGGGTATGGTTGTGGCAGACGTCATGTGTGGTTACGGCACGATTCTCGTTGAAGCTGCCATGCTCTGCCCAGTAAGTACGCTACGCACCACCCGTGTTATTTTTATCTTATTTGGTATCTTTTTCACCTGGACGTTTCGCTTATTCAAACAAATAGCTAAGACCGTAAGATACCAAATAAGATTTAAAAAATTTCACGGTTGCCATTCCTTGAGTTGTGCAATTGTACATGTGGTTCTCTTTTTTTGTTATGTTTCAATCAATCAATCAATCAATCATCCAATCAATTTGTTTTTTTTAAAACCTTCATGTATGTATATTTATGCGTTTATTTTTATCATTTATTTTAATGTGAATGAATTAGTTAATTATATTATTAATTATTAACCGTAACTATTTTATTTTGAAAGGGTCTCATTCTGGTTGGATTCGATATTGATGGTGAAGCTTGTAACAAAATGAGGGATAATATAAAAGAGAGCCAACGTTTCAAGAACTGCTGTTCTATTGATGTTCACCAATGTGATGTTAGATGTATGTGCTTCTGTATCTGTGTGTTCGTATGTGTGTGTGTGTTTGTGTGTGTGTGTGTGTGTGATTTTAATTACACTTGCGTCTATTTTATTGAAATATTGTCTCCAGAAAAACATAACTCATTCATGTTTTAACTTCTAGTGTGATTTTTAAACTTAAAAAGGTATCTTTTTTTATAAAATTACAAGACATTCCTTTAAAGAATGGATCAGTGGATAGGGTTGTGTGTGATCTACCATTTGGCTTGAAGCATGACAGAACATGTAGCGTTGAGGATATTCTGATCTCTGTACACAAGTATTTCCATGTTTTAGAGACATCTTTCCATAGCTTAGCTCTGCTTGAATAAAATAAGATGGCCGTTGTAAATAACGTAGAAGATTCTAGTTTTTTTTCCATATTTTATAAATTTTCTTACATTGAATTCGTTTGTTTTGTGACATGTTTCTCAAACTAATTACATTCCTTTTACACTTTCGTTACTCTATTTACTCTTCAGAATTCTAAAGGTAGGCGGTCGGTGTGTGTTACTTTGTGGCGCCAACATGTCCAACAAGTTCTCCAAAGTAGTCCATGATATTTTTCAATGTGTCTTAGACGGGAAAAATGAAAAATCTCCAACGAAAGAGAAAGCTGTTGATTATGTAATGAAGTTATGCTGGGATAGCACTACACACGTTCCTAATTCAAACCTTGATGCGACTGCTGCGGAAATTGATTCTCTTTATTCTGGGCCAGATATCGTTGATGTGGCTTATAAAGATGCTACTGCAGCTTCATCACCTGACGCTAATGTCGTAGCCACAGCGACTACTGTTCATCATTCAGATGTCGATGTTTTCGTTAGTCATCGTAACTTACGTGACGATAAGTTATTGTTTCCTCACTACAAATCTAAATGGTCGAATGAATTGTTTCATTATGTCAAACTCGGTGAAACTCATGCATACATTTGCGTTTTTACAAAAATTTGTTAACGTTCGCTCGCGTTTTTATTCTATTTAAAGTGTCCTTATATAAGTTTGACGAAAACATCTTACCAGTTCTAAAAACTGGTCGACCATTTGAAATAAATTTATTTGAAAATACCCAATTCAATGAAATGAGAGATGAAATAACTAAACGACAATGAAAAACCTTTGAAAAGCTTGACTAAAATATTTACGTCGCTAAAGTTGTTGATGTATTGATATTTTTAGCGGGTGTTGGTGCTCTGGTAGTAAAGGTTTTTGAATCTTTGAAGCTTCCTCTGCTTATTTCTTCCGCTTTTTGAAGAACTTCTTTAGATTTGGACTCATCCGATTTACTTTTATTTATTATTAACCGTTTATGAGCTTTCTCCCTCAACTTCGCGATGAATTGAGCTTGCTTCCTTGATTTCCTTCTTTCCATCTCATTTATTAATCTTTTGCCCATGTTCATTGGACACCAGCCTTCCAACATTGCTACCGTAATACCAAACAATGCGAGTGAGCTCGCAATGGTCAGCAGCACCAACGAGTATGTGAGTGTTACCGAGTATTTTGGGTAGGACTGATGAGTTCGGCAGTCTTCGGCCTGGATGGAGCCTTTCTTTGTTCCTGTCCCTTGGCTTGAGTCGCACGGCATACAAGACTGTTTAGTGTTTTTTCGTTTTAATTTATTTCATTTTGAATAATTAATGTAAATAATGAATAGTAATAAATCAATATCCATCGAAAGAGTACTAGGAATATAAGAATTGATAATAAAACGAAATTTGCTGTTTATGGACATATTTTATGGTGGAAAGCATCTCTGGTTTTGTTTTAAAGTTGAAAGTTTTAAATTTTAAAAATTTTCAAACCTTTGAGCCGTAGAATGATTGGTAGGTATCGACAGGACATTTGTTGCAATAATTTATTAATCCATTTTCAGAGAATGTTCCCGGACTACATGGCAGGCAGATGGAACCTCTGTTGCGACAGTTTTTCCGCAATCTAAATCCTCTGGGGCACACGTGGAAGTACTGCCGCATCGTTAATAACTTTGTCGGATGGAAAGATACTATAAATGGAAATTTGGATAAAAATTCATACGCTCGGTGGGCAAAACTGGAAAAAAATTATAACTTTTTGTAAATAAGCAGCCATGAATGTTATGCTATTAAAACATTTACTTGCTTTATCATTTGCTCCAGATTTGAATTTATATGCAGTGAAAAATAATTTTTCATGCACTCTTCAGAGCATCTTGGTGATTTAAATTTGGGGTGAGGTAGTTTCCTAACGGTTATCTCCAGGAAGACTTCCGGTTCATTGTTCTCAATCATGGTGTGCAGCGTAACTCTTCTGCAGGCGACATCGTGCACATTGAACTGACACACTGACAGAGACACAAACCACATTTTTTTTATTATATTATATTTTATTTGAAGAAACATTTGAAGTACTCCAACCTGGTTGAGCGGCATCAAGTCGTTCTCTGAAGCCACACAGAAGCCCCTGCATTTCATTCAAAGATGCCTCAACGAGTCGTTTATGTTTGGTACACGAACCATTCAAACGAAAAACTAGTGGGAATTCCATTCCAAACATTGGCAACTCATAAACTGTCAGCCTAACAGTCGACGTTTTAAGTTTTTTAGACTTCAGAATTATTGTGCACGTGTACGTACCGGTGTCTATTGATTTGGCGTCAAGTATCTTTACAATTTTTTACAAATAATATTTTAGTTTAAGTAAAGATTTATAAAATATTGTTATCTCACCAGCAATCTGTATCTCTTATCTATTTGAAATCTTCTCGGCTCTAACGGTCCCGGAAGTTTGTGCCCAGTTTCGGATTTCCAAAATCCTTCGATAATTTGGGACTGCAAATTGTTCTCCACCTCACGCGATATCCATTCGGGAACGCAGTGAAGCCAAACATTTTCTTCTTGCCTGGCACAAACAGTTCTCTTCGCTTCCAACACACTAAAGTTGAATGCGGCAAGTTCCACTTTATCTTTCTCCTTTTCTGGAATGTTCTTTCCCGAAACATTGTCGTTTTGGCAGCTGACAAGGCACACAGCTATTATACTGAGTAAACCTAATAGAGTATGTCTCACATTTATCATCGTATTATTGCATATATGTGGCATATAGATAATAATCAATGTTTATTAAACAATTTTATCAACGATTTTGTTTTTGTGTTGACGTCAGATTAAAGGAAGACTAAAAAATTATGTCAAAACAATTGTTTACAAATCACGATTACAGAATTTTTTATTAATTATTCAAATAATTCAATTTTAATCCTTTTATTAGTTTTCTGGGGTACATATTTTTAGCAGCAGCAACGTCCACGTTTTCCTCATTTATATTTTCTAGCGTCAGAAATGGCGACTTGGAGAGTTTCAAATAATTACCAAGTAAGATGACGATACCAAGCATGGAAAGAACAACTATGACACCGACGATGGCCATGACCATGATGTGGCACAACCACAACGTTAAACTCTTTCCACTGTACTTCCTGGTGCAATTGGTATGCGATGTTGAAGCCATCCTTAACTTCGTGCCTGTATTTTCAGGACAGTAGTAGCACTCCTGTTTGCATTAATAACACGCAGTCGTGATAGGTATTAAAACTTGAATGTGAAAACTTATCCTAAATAATTTTCAGTTATTAAAATTGATTTACCTTTGCGCCATATTTGAATTGGAAAGTATCAATGGGACACTGTTCACATGTATCATGATAAATATCATCATTTGCAGTTCCAGGCTTGCACGGCAGACACATGTGCTCCACAACTGTATCTATACATTGAAAGCAGTGATAAAAACCAACTGGACAAAAGTATTGAAACTGTTTTTGCTTTCTATATCTACTTGGTACCATTTCTAAAGTATAATTATCTTCAAAAGATATTTGCTCTAAAAGTGAAAGAAGTGGAAGAACTTGTTCAATATTATTCTCCGCTTGTTCTTTCGTAACATCAAATTCATTTTTGTTGTCATTGTTCTCAGATTTGTAAAAGTTGTCAAAATCACAAGGAGGTGTTAAAACGATAATTTTCAATAGGGAATTCATCTTATCCAAAACCTTTTGACCACCTGGACAATCGCCAACGTAACCGTACGTTAGGCATGTCGTTAGGTACCTAATTAGCGGTTCCTCACATTCGGAATATAGTCTATAAGGGCAAACTATAATTTTTTCAATGGTTAATTTTCAACGATTAACCGAACAATCCAATCAGTTACATAAAAAATCTGTTATTTTTGATGTTCTAAATAGTATTTACTTACTCACTTATCTTGCCAGCATAATTTTCAAACTCCGAACATAACTTCTGGTTAAGTTCGGCAATAGTTACCACGGACACTGACAGTAGATAATCACAACTGGCGTTCGATCTGTACGTGAAAGGCATTTTTATGCCAACACTCGCAACTCTGTAGACTGTCAGATTATTGTAATAAACGTAATTATGTCTGGTCGGTGTGGTCACGTGGCATCTATACATTCCCGTGTCCTCCGAAACCATTGTGGATATCTTAAAATAGATAAGCCTAGAATTATAAATTTTTTCAAAATTTTCTCAATCGTTTCCGAAACTTCAAATCTTGACTGGAATGAACATCCATGAAAAAACGGAAACATAAAACTTTCCAAATACAAATTATAAATCTCATCCTATCGCTTACCACTCGCGTTCAAACTAACTTGTTTGGTCTAATGTATACTTTATAATAAAATGACCAACTTGTAGCGTCGAACCTCCTATCAATTCGTGCCTTTCTGTTTTGTTGGACTTGGTGAAAAGAGATCTGTCATATTGATCAAACCACTGAATTCTATGCCTTATTAACGGTGATAGGATATTTTTCTGAAATGCCAGAGGATTAAAAACAAATATAAATCAGTGTTAAATTGAGGTTATTTAATATCTTTTGATAGAATGTTTATGCAAAATTAAGTGGAATGTCTTACGTATAATTTGGTAGTACCATTTTTGTTTGGGAGGCAGTACAAGCTCTCATTGGCTCCAAGTTGACTATAAATTTTAATTACTGAATTGTTATACTTCAATAAGAATGAATCCGGGACTGCTTCATAAATGTCACTCATGAAATGTTTCCTCGTGTCTTTTACGAATTTGTATCTACTCACGTGGCAGTAAGTTGAAGAGGTGATGTATAACACGATCGGAATGATTGTATGCATGGTATCACGAAATCTAAGTTACACTCATATTGCATTCGATTTTATTGATGAGTTTGTAAACAAAGCACGTCATAAAAGTCTTTTAAATATTAATCCTCAACTCTTTAAAATACTTTAAACTCTCGGCCAATTAAAAATAAATACAAAACTTTGAATAAAAATTAACATAAAATTTATGACTCAAATGTATGAAAATAACTGATAAAATAATAGTTGCAAGTAGTTTCAAGTTTTGAAGTTTGTATTTGTCAAATTGAGCGTTCAGTAGTTCAATGTCTTCACGTTATTCTGGCTGTTGGACTTTGATCTGTCGAACTTCCACTGACACTACTTGGTTTTTCAGTTAATTTATTCCAAAATCTGTTTTCTTTTTTACCACTTGCAGCACTGTCCATACCATTTGGTTTACCTGGTTTGGCGCTAACATCTTTTTTGGTGAAATTTTTCAAAAATTTGTTTTTATTGGAAGGGGCATCCACATTTTTAGCTGTGTCAAGTGCGGTTTTAGGATTTTTCCCGAGATCCTTCGGCCCCGCACTGCTGATAGAAATGCTTGAGAGGCCGCTTATTGAACCAGGTCTGATATCAGGCCGTGTTATAGGATCGTTTAAATTCCTCTTGTTGTAAATTGTAAGTTTCTCCTTTTTCTCAATTTTTTGTTTAATTTTGTCATCGAGATGTTTTTTTTGGTGTATTTTTTTCGAGTGCTTGGCTTCCCGGATGTCCCGCTTTTTGACATTCAGCTTGGGTGACATGGTGGTGCAGTGAATGATGACAAAGCTTATTGCAAGTAAGAAGGCAGTCAAAGTAATAAGAAGCGCTAAATAAAAAAACACTCTAGCAAATATTAATGACCAAATGACTCCTGAATAATTGAAACACGACAGTTGGTTTGTTTGTCCACTCTCTAGTCCAGTTTCGGTTTGACCCGGGCACTTTATGCACCCCTGAAAAATGTTTAATAATGAGAACATGTATTTGAATGTAAAATGTGATGTATGCAAATGATGCTAACATATGATCCCCACTCTGCTTGGTAGGTGTCAACTGGACACCTTTCACAACTTTTATGTGATCCACCACGAGAAAATTGTCCTGGCATGCAAGGCAGACACATGTGCGAATGTTGGGATGGAAAATAATATCCTGGACTGCAGTAATGAACATACTTGTAGGAATACTTGCGAACGTTTCCTTTCACAAAGTGTAAGAACGCCGGTTTTTCAGGCAATCCATCGATATTGTCCCAGAGTTTTCTCAACTCCTCTGTTTCATTGTGCGCCGTGTCCAAATTTTTCAAGTAGACGCATTCGTCGATGCAAGTTGTGTCCACTGACACCTGGAAAGCGGGATAATAGTTTAGTTTTAAAATTAAATACTGATTTTTATAGCCGCCAATGTTTTTTTTCACTCTTTCTACTCTGTTTGATATTGTTTCAACGTTAGTGGTCTGTAGATATTTCTGAGCTTCTTCAGTAAAGTTGAAAATTTTCTTAAATTTTTTATCTCGTTTGACATTGCCGTTGTTTTTATACGAATCTAATAACGCATTTCTTGAAAAACTGTTTATGTTTTCAAATTCAAAATGTTCCTCATCCTCCATCAAACTTCTTTTCCACAAGTTTACATCTAATCGTCTCTTCTTTTTACGTTTTTTCCTTATGTAGTCCAGTTTGTCAGCTGTCGATTGCGTTGTACCTTCAGTGTGGTTAGCCATTAACTTAGAAGTTGCCTTTGATGAAAGCTCTGAAGTTACTGAATTGCTACTCTTATTAGGCGTTGTGGTTTTGTTTTCAGGTGGTTCATGTGAATTCAACGTTTGCTTAGTGCTGACCATTGTGTTTGTTTCTTGAGTCGTCTGCGTCGTAATTAAAATACTTTTCGTCACTGCAGGCACTTCCAAATTTTTATCCAAATTCAGTTCGTCGTGAATTTTTTTATACCTTTTGCAGTTGGTTAGTAGGGGCCTGACACTGCACAATTTTGCCATCAAACGGGGCTCTTGATCTTCCCCGTCGTGCCAGCATATGACCTTCTGTTCCTCCTTTCGGCAAAATGACTTGGCTACGTGTTTCAGTGGCTCCAACGTGTTCATTACCAAGTTGCAAAGTGAGTCATACGGTGGCGTCAAACAAGCTAATTCGATTGTTTTCTTGACGTTTTTTAGGCCGTAACACTGGTATTGATTGAGAAATGGACACAGCATCAACTCTATCGGGTCTACATGTTGACAAGAAGGTTCTATTTGGAAACGACATTCTTGAAAGTTTGAACAAATTAAGTTTTTGTGAGTAAAAAATAAATAACAATTAATATCATATCATTTTTTGTAAACTAACTCGAATCAAAATTAGGGTCGTTCTTAGGTATGTCTCGACAGAGTTCGTCAGTCAGTTTAACGATCAAATCATCTATATTATGGAGGGCATACGGGCAGGTTCTTCCAGACACTTTAAAGACCAGCGGGACTTCAAGACCAACGTAAGGCACTTTATAGACGACGAGAAAAACGTAGTTGACATACGTGACGTTCTCAAATTTAACTACGCATGTATACGCGCCGGTTAGGCTTGTGGTGATGTTTTGCAACTGTGGAATTCATTCAAATAAAAAATGATTATTTTATAATTTAAATATTTTATTTTTTAAAAAAGAAATTAATAATAGGGTAGAAAAAATGTTGAAAAATGGAAACAAAACTGAACTATGAATTTGATCTACTGACACATTACTAATATATGAACAATAATTTTTTTCATTTTATTTTCACAATCAGCTACCGACAAACCTTCAAATTTTTTATTTTGTCGTAAGTTACCCTCTCGTTCGTAATGGGGGATACGATGATTCCCGGAGGTCCGATCTGAAATAATTTTCACCTTACAAAATCTTTTTATCAAATTATCATTATCTATATCAACTTATCTAAATCATCCCTACAATTGTTATTTGCACCATAGGTTATCATCTTTATCAATCGATTCATTTTATACATTACAATTAAGTTAGTTATATTTTCTAGAGGTGAATGTTCGACATGCATACGTGTAAAATTTTTTGCAATATTAAAGTTATGTGGCGTGAAACAACAGCTAAAATACCTGCTTGTAATATCGAAGTAGTCGCTATTTTATTTTTATATAGAGAGTCATTTTCTCTAAAATTTCATCTACGTCCATTTATAAACTGAATTTATTATTACATAAATTGTAAAAAGAAAAGAAATTAGATCATTAATATGCCTGTAAAAGAAAAGAAAAAGAAAAGAAATTAGATCATTAATATGCCTGTCTTCTTAAAGAATTCCTCGTTAGCGTACACAACCAATCCCAAGATTAAATACCTAAGTTAAATTCCAAAATTAAAATCCATAATTTAATACCCATTCCGCCAGATTGGGATCGGGTTGTCCAAACGTAGTGGGCATGCAAGGAATTGTAATGGAGGTGTAAATTTTCACCATCGAATTTCTGTACGTTTTCTTAACCTCTTTCTCAAAGTCGCACCTCCGATTCAATATACTTAATGTTACGATATATATAATGTAATACCTCGAGTATAAGTTTTGAAATTTCATCATTTTATATTTTTTATTAATTTAGAATTAAAAGTAAATAAAAGAAAATAAAATATGACGTAAACATTCAATGTTATACCTACATTTTAATGTATTGATAGTTATTATTAACAATCGAAATTGACTTCGTAAAGAGAATTTATAAAAAAATGAAATAAAGTAAATAAATAAATAAAAGTTTTTTCAAGATAACCGGAAAACATGCTATAACGCTGTAAAAATCTAAACGAACGAACGAAAGAACGAACGAACGAATAATTAACTTGTGCCATTTGATACTGTGAAGAAATTCATCCCACATATGTGCAAGAAGTTTGATTTCAATAGCTGAAACGTTTCTAAATTTTTTAGAAAACCGAGACTAATAATTAAAAAGGTTTAGTGTTGATACATTTCATTTACCCGATACAATATCGTCAGTATTACATTAACCGATTCTACCTGAAGAAAATAATAAAATGAGAAAATGAGAAGTTAACAAAACAAAATAAAGGTTAATACAACAATTTTATTAAAAAAGTGGGAACTAGTGCATGCAAAAGGTCTTTAAAACGTAAGATGAACAAAACTTGCCGTTGCGTTGTTGCCCGTGTAATTCAAAATCCTACTCAGTAGATCGTGCCCCATTTAACTGAGTGAAGATGCTACATCCGTGATGTTGGAACTAGAGCAATCATTGTCGTTTGACGTCATGCAAAATGTTATCTGTAAGAATCATTTACGACTAAACAAAACCAAATATAAAAACATCTTTTTCCGAAGAAAAACCTAAAAAATGATTGGTAAATGGAAAGTCTAACAACTACTGGAATGATTGTAGGGAAAAGAGATCGCGGTCAACAACGAATTACATCCGTGAGGTCCTTGTGTCACTTGTTAAATATCACCACATTTCAACTACTACAAAGTGTTAAAGATAGGGTCTTGTGGAGGTCGATGGTCACCAATGTCCTGAAAGGATTAGACACGAGAAAGAAGGATTGAGAGAACTTGAACAGGAAACTTGACAATGATTTACGATCTACCGTTAGAAAAATCGAAAAATTAAACAGGAGGCTAACTAACGGAGAACATGTTGTGATTTTCATCATTAATTGCATTTCTGACAGTCTTAATTTAATGTATATAAATATATATATATCAATAAAATTCAGTTTTTTGAGCAGTAAGACGACGGCTTATAACCTGAAAGACACAATAATAAATGTGAATATGTGAAAATAGCACGTCTTTGTAAACATTATTCCCGTAAAGAGCTAAATTATCGTTCAATCTTTTTTAATATTTAATAAAGATGAGCGAAAGTGTTTCAGGTTTGTTTTATTATGCATTGTGCATTATATATTATTTTTTAATTATTTGTTTTATATTTCGTTTTCAGGAGACGATACGGAATCCATAGAGGTCAGTGTCAATTTATCAAATTTGTTTGTAACAGTAATTGAGTAATCAGTGTAATGAAATTATAAAAAAATTAAATTAAGTAAGTTATTTTTAGTTTATTTTGAGATTTTTGACATGACTTGAGTAATTTTTCTGGATTTTCAACATCTGTAATCAATTTTTTTTTCAATAAATTTCATCAGGCCAAGTTTTTTAAAAGTTTATCTCTTCATTCAATTTATTAATTATTTATTTAATAATTTAGTTTAGATTTTAGTTAGTGTTAGTCAGAAATCCTTTTCTACTAATTTATAAAGATCAGATTTTTAGTTTTACTTTTAATTATTAGTGTGTAAACTATAAAGTAGTAAAGTAAAGCTACTAGAAACTTATAAAATATAATACTATAAATATTTCTACTTAAAAACTGATTTTTTTCGGCTTTAGCCCTAATATATATATATATATATATATATATATATATATATTAGATTACGTCGGTTGGTTTATTATATATATATATAATAAATTAAATTTGATTTCAAATCAATTTAATGATATTTTAATTTAAAATCTAAACTGAAATTTTAGTATGGTCAGGATGACGACATTAGGTCAGAATGCAGCTCAACTAAAGATGAAGAAGACTTGAGAAGGTTTTTTTATTAATTTCATTTCAATTAAATAATCAGTTTTTATTGATTAGTTGGATTAATTAATTAATTAATTAATTGAGTGACAATAATTCCTAATTTGAAAGTCTTAAAATTCATACAAAAATTTTTTTTTTCAGATCCAAACTCCATGATCTGAGAGAATTTAAAACAAAAACTAAGACAAAACTGGTCTCCAAAAATGTAGTAACAGAAGAATATTCAAGGTATAACTGATTTTTATTCTGGTTTTTAATTAATTAGTTAGTTTTTTAGTTAATTACTTAATTAATTAGTTTTATCATATTTCTTGTAAAGTAGAATTTTATCAAATGATTTAATTTAAATTATTTTATTTTTAATTTTTTTTAATATTTCTATTTGAAACAGAGAAGAAAATCGAAAAGAAAGATTTCATTTATTGACATTGGATGCTGTAATTACATTTTTTGGTTTAATTTTAAAACATTTTAAAACAAAACTTCTACCCATGCTATACCATTTTTATCTATTCATTTCACTATAATTCCTACTAAATTATTATCACATTATTCATTGGCTGTTCATCGTCACATCATCATCATTAATATAATTGTAACCATAATTTTATTTTAATTATAGCTATATAATTATAGCCGTAATATCTTTATAATTATTAATTATAACTTTTCTCCAAAAGTATTCACGACACAAGAAGTTTATTAATGATTACATTCTATACTATGGGGGTAGTATGTCTGATTTTAAGAGAGACTCGTAAGTAAATTGAGCTTTTTTCTAATTATTTTTCATTTAAATAACTTTAACAATTTTTTTTTTCAATTCTGTAAAAAGTTTGTTATTTAATTATTATTTTTATTCTGAATTTTAGTAGTAAAGTCTAAAAATGATTCTTTGAAATTTAACTAATTATATTAAATTTCCAAAATAACAGTTTATCAAATGGAATTCTATTATAAGAATTGAATTATATTGATGAAAGTTATTAATAATTATGTTAGTAACCAAAGTATAAATTATAACCTGGAGATATATAGATGAGATAGTATACAGTATATATAATATATTTTGAATACAATACTACTACCACTTGAAAGTAAAATTTAGTACTTTTTTTTAATAAAACAGTTCCAAAGATAAAACAGACTTTGATGTAATTAAAGAACATCATAAGTTTCTATGGGACGAGGATGAATGTGAAACGCAAAAAAGCTGGTTTCTAATTGTGGCTCTATTTAGTATTTTTTTTGTTTTGTTCATATCCATTTTTTTTAGTTTTGCTCATTTTTTGATACTTTTTAGCATTTCAAAATAAAATTTTAAATGCGTGATTGTAATAGGGAGAAGAGGCTGGCTAAAAAGTATTACGACAAGCTGTACAAGGAGTACTGCATTGCTGACCTAACGTACTACAAACATAACAAAGTTGTATGGATGTGATGTGATTGGTTGGCTGATTGGTTGGCTGGTTGTTGATTGGCTGGTTGGTTGGTTGGTTGGTTTGTTGGTTGTTTGACTGATTGATTGTTAATTTATTTAATGCCATTATCATTTGAGTTAATGAATGACTGAAAAAATGAATAAATAGATGTGCAAGAAGATGAACAAAATCTTTTTCCAAACTTCATTATTTAATTTTAAATCAATAATTAATTTAATTAATTTTATTTATTTATTTAATTAACTGATTAAATCCAATCGCTTCTTTCAACCGATATTAAGATAGCCATGAGGTGGAGAACAGAAAAAGAGGTCGTTGCTGGGAAAGGTCATTATCACATGATCCAATTTTATAAGGATGTGACCTACATTTCTGTTGTCCCGGCCTAATTTCATTGTTGTCCTGACCCAATTTCGTTGTTGTCCTGATTCAATTTCGTTGTTGCCATGACCTAATTTCGCTTTTGTTATGATCCACTTTTATCATTATAGCCTAATTTCGTAGTAAAATGATGTGAATGTGATTGATGAATGGCAATGAAGATAGTGTTATAAGGTTAATTTGAGTATATTTACAAACAACTTGATAAACAGTAGTGAATGAATTTATAAAATGAAAACAAAATCTTTCATCTTCACCTCATCAAGGTCAATTTGAGTGTGGGGAAAAACACTGTGATGAGGGCGATGGCTTGAAGAGTTGGGAGGTCAACTTTGGATACGTGGAGCATGGGGAGAAGAAGAATGCCCTAGTCAAATTAAGTCAGTCATTTGATTGGTTGACTGATATTTCATGCTTGAATTTGGTTGGTTGGTTGATAGAAAATAAGTTTGATTGGCTGGTTGATGTTTAACTCCAACCGTCTGCACAGGATTATGCCCAGACTGCTCGTCGAAACTCAACTACCATCACAAGTGATTCATTCATATAATTTTTCTTATCACCGTGCCAACATCGTCCTACTAACTTTCTATCATTTCCATTCCATCACCATTAGATACACTCATTTGTTGAAATGTATCTATTAACAACGCATCACTGTACGTACATCATCATTGTACATTGTACTGTACATCATTATTGTTTTCCATTATCATTATTCTCCTTATTATTATTCTTCTTATTATTTTTGTTACACATTTTAGACGAAAAGAGATTAAAAAGAAAAAAAACAGGAAGCGGAAGTCACGTGACGGTATCGATGAGGAAGATGGCGACGATGGCGTGACTAAGAAATCAAAAAGGTACGACTCCGATGGTGACGACGACGATGATGAAGATGGTAGTGAAAATAATAATGAAAAAAAACCCAAAGCCAACGGTAAGTTTTTACATTTACATCTATTTTTGTTTTATTTTTTGGTTAATTTCCTAATTCTGTTCAATCTTGTTTAAACCTTTAAATTTTATCCTTGCCAATCTTGTAGCAGCATTTTCTGCTCCGTGTTACGAAATAAATGTCGTTTCGTCTCGTTTCGTTTTACATGTATTCGTTGTTTCGTCTGGAATTGATGTTTTGAAGAAAATCATAAATTTTATATTTTGAATCAGCAGCAGATAAAGCACAAGCTGAGGAAAATATCTGGTCAAAAGAAAGAGTCATTGAGAAAGAAAAGTCCAAGTTTGTTTGATTTTTATACTTCAATCAATCACACAATCAATCAGTTCATTAATTAATTAATCAATCAATCAACCAACCAACTGCTAATCAATGGCAGTATATCAGCAGCCCAACCAAACATTCATCTAATAATTTTATTGGCGAAAAAAATTCACTAACAAATTTAACCGTGACTGTTTTGTAACAATAACAATGACGATATCAACAACAACAATAATAATTATTACTAATTATTTATTATTATTAATATTATGAAATAATTATTTGCAGAGAGGAAGAGTTTGACGAGTACTTCGAAGACATATTTCTATAATTAGCCACCGATGATGATGAATGAATAATAATAAGAACAGAGGCGTCATTTGGGGGGAGGCAGGGGGGGCAATTGCCCCCCACAAGAAAAATTATAAAATATTAAAATTATAAATTATAAAAGTGTTAATTTTAAATTCTTTGTAAAAAGGATATAATAGGATATATAGTTTAGTAATTTTAAAACTTTAAAAATTTTAAAAACTTTAAAAATGTATAATTTATTATAATGTTGCACTGACGAGACTAGGTAGTCGAAATAGTAATATATGCATACATGTAGATAATGACATCTTCTGTAAATAGGAATTTTGTTAATAGTATTAACAAGTTAAGCTTGGTAGATCGGAGAATTATTCGAAGAATCGAGAAACTATTATATAGATTGAGTACTGTAAAAAACGCCGTGATGTTTATTAATATATATATATATATATATATATATATATATATATATATATATATATATATATTAATAAACTTACTTTATTAATATATATATATATATATATATATGTTACATGCTAAGTCATAGACCACATAAGTTCGCCCCCCAACCAAAATCTGAAATGACGCCCCTGAATAAGAAATTATGTTACTATGAAATACTAAACTGTAATAATAATAATTTTTGTTTCTTATTGTTTTTATCACTATTACGTTGTAAATAAATACATATTTTAAAAAACTCGTCATTTTCAGAAGGTTTTTGTGCCACAGATCTTATGCTAACAAATATATAAGAAAAATATATTTGTGTATGTGTGTGTGTGTATGTATGTATATATGTATGTGCGTATATAGCAAAAACTGATTAACATTTTAAAATATTCTAAATTAATAAATTCAAAATATGAAAATTCATTAAAGCTCCGGAACAAATTTAACATTGACGGAATCGGTTGGTATGTTGTAAATAAACCATCATCAACCAATTAACAAATTAGTTAATTAATTAATCAATCAATAATTTAATTAATTAAGAAACTATTTATAATCAAAAAAGGCACTACAGCTAGAACCATCGTCGACTGTCGCTTATATCAGTTTAGTATGCAAATACATGAGTGGATGTAAATTGTAGAACCGTTAAATTGCTGAGAAAATGATTGACTTTTCTATGGTGTTTATAATTTAATATTGCCTAACATTAGCAAGGAGTCAATTCAACTAACAATTTGATCATTCATTATTCAGTTTTTCAATCACTCAATTGGGTTACTGTCAAATCAAAAACCAATCAATCAACCAACCAATCAAATAGCCAATCAACCAACTGACCAACCAATCAAATAGCCAATCAATCAACTGACCAACCAATTAAATAGCCAATCATCTGACAAATCAATCAACCGACTAATCCGCTATTTGCGAATTCAATCAATCCACATTTCAATCAAACAGCCAGCCGACCGGCAACCACTTAATAATTGACTGCTTTCTTGACGGCTTCAAAGCACTTCCACTTGTCAGGTAGATAGAACGGTTCGAATACGTGTGGGAATGGCGTGTCGTAGCCGCAAACACGCTGAATGGGGCACTCCAGATTCAGAAAACATTCCTCCTGCGTTGGTTTTGTTATTAGGCTAGCTGATTTTTTTATTTAAAAATTCATTTTAGGTGTTTGTAAATGTTGGTGTTTTTTTAGTAAAAATATGTATTTGTATTTGTATGTGGTATTATAACAGTGAGTTAATGTAAGTTTTTGACAGATGTGTGCTTGCCATGCCACAAGTATAAACATTTCAAATCAATTAATTTACAAGTGTAGTGGAGCGATTGTTTGTATGTTAAATAGTTTATAAGGCTATTTGATATTAACGTAAATGCAAACTTGGATTTTAGAAGCTATCTCAGAAGCAAAGCCAAGAGTGACTGGTGCCTCGTGTGATATGATCAATCGACCTGTCTTTGATACTGACTGAATGTGCAGTTGTGATATATATCAATCAATCAACCTATCCATCAATCAGTCAATCAATCAATCAATCTATCTATCTATCAATCTATCTATCTATTCAGAGATAAATCTATTTAAAAAACCACCAGTCTATTCGATTTAAAAAACGGTCAGTCGTCAGATCAAATGGTAGGTCAATCATCTGATACGGGCGATTGAGTTAGTTTGTTATGAGGTAAAAATCAACTGGCCAAACTGCATTACAAAGACCTTGGCAACAGTTTCGGAGTCCCAGGGCAGAATAGTTCTGAGATCGATGACCTCACAAGACACCTTCAGATGTTCCTCCGCCATCTTTGCAACTTCCTGCAGAACGTGCACCTGCGTACCCCAACCGACCAACGTGACGTCATTCCCTGTTTGTGGTTGGTCAAAAAAAAAAATGGTTTTGCTGACGCTGTCTATTATGTTGATGTTGCTTGATTTTATAATTTATTTAAGCGCTTCATGAGTTTTTGATAATAATAATAATAACAATAATAATACATTCAAATTTCACAAACGCATACCCATCAACAAACATGTGCATCTACAAACAGATACACGCACGCAAGCACACACACAGACACATAAAATCATGACAAACCTTCAATAAGAACTTCAGCTTGTGAAAGTGGGAGTAGGAACCTCCCGATTGGAACTTCTTCAATAGCGGATCTGTACAGGATCTTGGGCTCAAAAAATATGCAAGGATTGTCATCTTCAATGCAACTGAGCAGCAATCCTTTCGCCTGGATCGGTCCTCGCGGGATTACTATCTGGTTGGTTGGAGGGATGATTCATTCATCCATTGAACGAACGAATGAATGAATGAATGAATGAATGAATGAATGAATGAATGAAAGAATGAATAAATGAATGAACGAATAGCCAAACAAACGACCTATTCAATGAAAGAATGAAAAAATGAACGAATAAAGAACAAATTCAATGATTAAGATGAGTACCTTAAGCCCGGGTACGTGAGCAAAGAAAGCTTCCGGGCTCTGAGAATGGTAGACAGCCCCATGACCCACCGCACCACACGGAGACCTGATGGTCAGCCTCCCACAATCGAACTGACCTCCTGACCTGTACCTGTACTTGGCTGCTTCGTTCACTATCTAGGTGGGTAGTTTGTTGTACGTGTAGGTGTACCTGGCTCCAATCTAACGCATAATAACATCTACTACATACTTCTAACATACTGCAGTTTAAAATGAAAAAATTTTTTTTAGAATCGTTTTAGGAAAATTTTCAAGACAGAATAATCAAACTATTCAATCAATGTTTGTTTAGCGTCCAGAGATCCAGTTCCCCGAGGTAGGACGTAATAATCAAACTATTGCAAATACATGATAGCATTTAAGAAACATACAATCAAACGAAAACGAAATAAGAAAGACACACATCACCGCCACCTGATCAAAAGCTGGAAATATGTAATCGGCGAATTGCATCTCGGCAATGACTCGAGCGCCAGCGCAGGCCGCACCGATGGCAAACCCTGCTATCCCCTGCTCACATAACGGGGTGTTGAAGACTCTGTCCGATCCTTTGTTAGTACATTCAGAGATGGATGCATGATCAAGTGAGTGAGTGGATGAGTGAATAAATGGATAAACTAACAAACAAATGAATGAGTGAGTGAGGTGAGTGAGTGAGTGAGCGAGTGAGTGAACGAACAAATGAATGAATTACACCCCACCATATTTATCTTTCAATCCAACAGTGCATCTGAAAACGCCTCCAAAAGCTACATCTTCTCCAAAGACCACTGGAAGAGAAATTAAGAAAAATTATAAAAAATAATTTTCATAATAATTATATTAAAATAATTAATTATATTATTTCAAGGTGGCGGTGGCGTTATGATGCAATGATTAAGGAGCCTGGCGACGCCGTTGCTACGACTGGCTTCGAATGCAAAGAGATCTAAGCTTGCAACATTCAGTTTGTGTTGTGTCTGTAGATGTTGCTTCAGAGAGAGTTCTGAGACCAGAGTGTCAGATTCGGATGAAAAATATCCAACTTCTAATCTGGGTTCGACTTCGGGTTCCGACTCCCAGGAAAAATTTTTAACTTTTGCATCATAATTTCACCTTATTGTCACTAGTAAATAGAAAATACTTTAAAAAACACTTAAAATCATTCATTTCAATTGCTTTCCTTAGTAAAACTTTTATATTTTTAAACTAACTGAAAAATAATAATGTGATTTTATTGATTATTTAAAAGTTATGAGACAAGAAAAATAAATATATAAAATATTAATTTTATAAAAAAAAATTATTCCAAAATTATGAGGCAAGAAAAATAAATAAATAAAATATAAATTATATAGAAAATTATTCCTAAATTATGAAGCAGAAAAATAAATAAATATATTATATAGAAAGCTATTTCAAAATTATGTAACAGGATTTCTACATGTTGTAGGATCTTCCGTAAGGGCAACATCCATGGCACTAGTTAGGGCCTGGCATAAGTTCATTCTTTTTATTTCACCTGGAAAATTTTTTTTCTAATTTTATAAATTATTTTTTAAAAATCATTTAATATTTCAATCTCAAAATTAACTTTTTGAAAATATTTGTCTCTAAATGTTTAACTAATCGACAAAGCATTAATCAAATAACATATGAATTTTATTTTAATTAAATTGAAATACTTTAAATACTACATTTTGACATTTCTGATCACAATTATTTTCAATCAGATAATTAAATAATTAAGATAATTTAATTAAGATAGTTAAATAGGTTTAAAAAAAACAACATTGAAATAGTTGTTAATAGATGATGTGATGGTACAATGGTAAAGATGCCTTTATTGCACTGATCCACATGCACTTATTTACATAAATTGAGTGTTTGTTAAAGACTACTTAAAAAGATTAAAGACCGGCATTATCAGGCACTTTGGATGACACATAGGAGAACGAGGTACTGTAGCGTCTTGTGTAGGCCAGACTCATTCTACATTCTGAAAATCTCTTTTGGAACTTCAATAGAGATGATGTCAGTGAAATTCCTTTCACTATTTTCCTAAGAGGATCTGTTAGCTTTTGGATAGGGGCCATTATGGCTGAAGTGCTATTTTTAAAATTAAAAAATGAGATTATAATTTAAATTTTTATTTTATAATCAGAACAACTTAAAATAATGAATTAATTAAAAATGGCTGGGCTCTGAATTAAAATAATTAAAAAATTAATTTACATTTAATATTATATGATTGACTTAAGAGTTAAGACTCTTAAGTTAATTAAATAAACCAATTAACAACCGTTAGTTATTAACGTAAGTAACTAATAAAACTGTACAGTACATTACAATTACGTTACTTACTTTTCATTACAGATTACTTACATTACAAAATTTACAATGAGTAGGTATAGACTAGACTAGAGATAGCAGTATGGCTCACTAACTAAACTACCTACACATACACACGCTCAAATACTTAAAAATGTGTCTAAAACTTAAAGTTTACTGGCTGAATTTTAACAATAAATGTTCTTCAAAACTAACCACTTAGCAAAATGTGCAGAATAAGAAATGACACAAAATAATTAGTCTCTATTTTTTGAACATTTGATCGCAAAACCAGCTTTCTTCCAAAACAAAAACCTAAATTCACTTTTAAACTAGATCTGAACGCGACGCATTCATATACTGTTGAATTTAATTTATTTTCAAAGTTATTTTCAGTAACATATATACACATATATGCATATATATATATATATATATATATAGAATATATTCTATATATATGCATATATATAATAGTCATTAAAGCTATTTTTTAGAATTAATCTGGCACAGTTTTAAAGTTGATTAAATTATACAACATTCATCTAATAGACAGGTCATTTCAGTTATAAAGTATTCAACGTCATTATATTCATCTATATATATATATATACATATATCTACAATGATATATTTCAGTAAGAGAGCATTAAGATATATTTCTATATTTTTCACATTTATCTATTTCCATTTAGTAAAATATAATTGATGATTTTTTTCCAATATCCATCTCCCCTTCCAACAGCAATACTTCTCCATCCAATGCTATATTTCAATTTTCATCTTTATGTAAGGTTACGTTACGTTACTTCTCCAACCAATGCTATAGTTCAATTTTCATCTATATGTTAGGTTACGTAGCCTACTAGCCTACTACCGTATGTTAGTATGCAGAAAGTTATGGGTTGTTATTTTGGGATCATATATATATATATATATATAACATGCTATATTTTGTTATAACATATGTTATATTATATATATATATATATATATATATATATATATATATATATATATATATATATATATATGTTTGAGATATACACAAATTTGATTCTAATTTAAAATTTAATAAACACGATTTTACCAAATATTGCACTAGGAAAACAGTATATAAACATTTTGACGTCTGATAATGTTATTTAAAATCCACTAAGAATGTTTTTACATTATAATATTAACGTATTAAATAAGACTTTAGATAAATTTAAACTATGTAATAACCATACTATTCACTATAATTTACAGAGTTCGTAGAGTCTATGGTTCTATTTTATATGTACTAAATCTGTAGAAACAGACGCAGACAAAATAAATGGGCTTATGTAACATCACAATGCCAAATTTCAGTTTAATAATTTTTTTTATTTACCATAGTTAATTTCAAAAATAGAACAGTGCGTCAGGTTTTTGAAAACTTTGTTAAGGTTGAGATTTGTTTAGAAGCCGGTTTTATGACGTTAAACAAAAGAGGTAGCTTGAGTACAAACATAACTTAGTACATGTGATCACAGTCGCACTTTACCCACCACCCAGACACACACCACTCAGACACACACCACCCAGACACACACCACCCAGACACACACAAAAACACTCACATACACACTATGCACATAAAACACACGTACACGTGTGTGTGTATCTATATACCAAATATGAATTATAAAGTCATTACAAATTTCGCAATTATAATTTTTGGCTATTGTAAGCTGTCATTTTTTATTTTTATACATAAAAATTCGTATTTTGATAATTACAGATATGATGAATAGAAACCTCTGGTCGCATGCTGTTTATTTCACATATATTATTGAATTCCAAAATGTTCTAAAAATATTTTAAATTACCTCTTTCAACTACTTCAATTGTACTTAGGTTGTAATAAAAATGGATCCTAAAAATAAAATTCATTAAAAAATTTTAGTAAAAATTCAAGTTTATGAATGTCGATATGAGTTTTGAAGACAGTGTAAGATATATACATATAATATTACATATTTACGTATTGGTTATATAAGCAAAGGTGTGTTAGATTTAAGGGGTCTGAAAAACTGTAGCTTGCCAACACAAACCCAATTAAAGATATTATAAGTTAGACAATTTAGTAAGCAGATAGTTATGATTATTTATTTAACTAAGCAATTTAAGATGCATGCAACGCTAAGATATTTCTAGTTAGAGCAGGGGTGGGCAAACTTTTTGCTGTGAGGGTCACATTGAAAACTATTTTACCTTTGGGGGGCCGCACGTGTACATTTTTCACGGTTGAATTTTTCTTGAATTGTTCATTTGTGGCTGACCGACCATTTTTGGGTCATTTCATTTTTCATATTTTTCTCAAAGTGCGTTACCCCTGAATTAGAGAATCTTTTAGTTTTGTAGATAGTAAATATTTATTCATGTGCTACTCGTCTCAACTGAACAAAACTTAAACTTTGTATCGGTCGCCTATTTAGATTACTCCTTTAAAAATGAATGGTGCACTTGAAAGCCTCACACTTTAAAATTTAAAATGTAGAATTTAATACATTTGGGCCATCATATTACGCAATATTTTTAAAAACAGTCCAAAAAATTAATTTAAATGAATATTTTCAAAATTTAGACTAAAAATTCAGTTTTTCTAGTTGTTTAACGGCGTTTCAACAATTAACGGCTCACTAATTCTCTCCTCCATTGAAATTTTTATGTCTTTTGATTCGCATCTTAAAATCTTATTCGCAACATAAAACTATAACTGCGAAATTTTAAAGAATGAAAAAGAAAGAATGAATCAAAATTCAAACAAACTTGAATTAGTTCGACACTCCACTTTAGTAGTTCAAACTCCCATGACCTTTCCAAAGGATCATCACTTCAAAACATAAAATGACACAAGCACAACTAACGAATTTGTTAAGTGGAGTATAGAGTTTGCTTGAAAAATTGGTCATAAAGTACAAGTTTGAATGATGAAACGTACGTACACATAAAGCAAACAAATGAAACACAAACATACACACACACAAATGCATCACACAAACACGCTCACACACACACGCAATGATGCATGCACACATTAAACTCATCATTCATTCATCTATTTATTTGCACTATGACTCGATCCAAAACAGAAGACTCTGGCATTAGTATTAACGCACAATGCAAACGTATACACGCGCGTACATATACACACACATAAATGCACACACACACACACACACACACACACGTACATAGCAGCCCAAGCAAAGATTCCAAAAGATGAATTTGGATTGAACTTTATCATTGGAATTTGCCATTTTATCACGTGGGTCTTTCATAATACTACTAATAATAATTATTGTTATTATTATTATTATTGTGCGTGTGTGTGTGTGGTGTGTGTGCGCGTGTGTGTGTTTTATACATTCTAATTTTATGTGGGTTTAATAACGACGCTGCAAACGAACCTAGCTCCTATATATGGAATAATAATAAGAGAGTATTTTGCGTGTGTTTGCGCGCATGTGCGTGTGTTTGTGTGTGCGTATGTGTAATTGTAGTAACTTAACTTTTTCATTTCGGCATTGTGGACAAGGACAGATTAATATACGCATGCTGTACTTAGGCTGCTTCTATATTTTTTCAGCATTTGAAACCTTACTAGCATTAAAAAATAGAAGCGTTAGTTAACATTAAGGGTAATAATAATAACAATAATAATAATAACAATAATAATAACAATAATAATAACAATAATAATAACATAGATTAATCAACATTAACGCTATATTGGGCCGGACGGTAGGTTGTTAAACTTTTTAAGCACATGGGAAGTTTTTAATTTGACGTTGTTGACAATGGAGCTAAAGTGTCACAACACAAACATGTCTTTGTGTGTGAGTGTGCGTGTGTGCGTGTGTGCGCGCGTGTGTGCGTGTGTGTGCGTGCGCGTGTGCGTGTGTGTGGGATGGGGTAGATATGAAGGGTTTGTGGGCTCTTTTCCTATAGTTACAAAATTTTAACGGAAAGAATAATTTTAGTATATTTATGAACAAATTAATAAATGAACAAGTGCTAATGACCTATAAAAGAATGCGTGTTCTTCATGTTCTTCATATTTTACATGTTCTTCTTTTTTTACATGTTCTTCATGTTCTGCATGTTCTGCATGTTCTTCATGTTTTACATGTTTTTCATGTTCTTCATGTTCTTCATGTTCTTCATGTTCTTTATGTTCTTCATGTTCTTCATGTTCCTTCATAAGTTACAACAAAATGTAATAAAAGTAACAAATACAGTAAATAAATACTTCACGTACTGACTACTGCTACTGCTGATTCGTTACACAAAGTCCATCAGGTAAAACCATCATCTTTCGCTCACTCTCTCTCTCGCTCACTCTATCTCTCTTTCTCTCTTTTCTATATATATATATATATATATATATATGTATTATATATATATGTGTGTGTTTGTATGTGTGTGTGTAGGTATATATATATAAATATATAAAAATTATATATATATATATAGTTCTCTTTTTTCCTCCCTTTCTCTTTCTCTCTCTGTATATATATATATATAACATTTTGTTACATACAATGAACTAAAATTGAATAAATTTCTTTATAAAGTTATTTGAGAAGTCTTTGCAAGATCGTTAATTATATTTTATTCATCTGTCTAGAATATAACTTTTAATTATTTTAAATAGTAATAATTAATGTTTGTACTTTTGATTTTCAATTTTTCGAATAATAACTAACTAATTAGATGGCTCTTAAGAGTGTTCAGTAACAAAAGAACGACCCAATTATAGACGTGTTCGTTGGTTAATCAATCAATCAATCAATCAATCAATCAATCAATCAATCAATCAATCAATCAATCAATCAATCAATTAATCAATCAATCAATCAATCAATCAATCAATCAATCAATCAATCAATCAATCAATCAATCAATCAATCAATCAATCAATCAATCAATCAATCAATCAATCAATCAATCAATCAATCAATCAATCAATCAATCAATCAATCAATCAAAAATTCACAGTTCATCATTCTCATCTTCGTCATCTTCATCATAATTTTAGTTATCTGATTGACCGTTTATGACCACAACTGGCCATTACACTATTTAAAAAAAATTTCATAAATTCTCCAAGAGATATGGATCAAAAAAATGGGTTCGTTGAATTAGTATCTGATTTTATTTTTGTTTTTTTTTGGGGGAGAGAGTGATAATTAAGTTAAACCTCATTAGAGAAAGTTTTGTACGCAACTCAATATCATCCCCACGACTCATTCCTTCGCTATTGTCAAAAAATCTCAACTAGATTATCATTGTCTCCGCCAATCACATTCAAGATTGACAACAACAACAACAGCAGCAACAACAACAGCAACAACAACAACAACAACAACTATGGATGCCCTTTCTTTTCCAGATCATCTCTCTCTCCAACAACAGCAGCAGCAACAACATCAGCAGCAACAACATCAGCAGCAGCAACATCCACAAATCCATCTTGCCACAAAACCAAGAGTGAGATAATGAGGGAAAAGGCGGAGAGAGCCAAAGAAACCAGAGGGCGATATTTGGATTATCTTCAGGTAAAACAAAATTTCTGGGTAACCTGATATTTTTGTTGTTGTTTAGGTTATTACTAATTTTATTCTTTTTGTTGTTACTAATGTCGTTGTTGTTGTTGATTTGTTGTGGTTATTACAATTTTTATGATCATTATTCGCCTCAAATACAACATCATCGCTACCTTCATTATCGCAGTTCATCGTCATCGTCGTCATCATCAAACGTCATCATCATCAGTTAGATAAATTGTTAGACTGCCAGCACCTGATGTCAGCAAGTGTAGAAGCCATTCACGACGAACACCTCTTCATAGTTACTCATCAGAGTATGATGATGATGACAATGATGATGATGATGATGACAATGATAATGATGACAATGATGATGATGATGAGGAAGGATGATTATGGTGATGATGGTGTTCTTTTTAATGATAACGATATGATGATATTGACGATGATGATGATATTGACGATGACGATAACAACAAATGGTGAAACCAATGATGGTGATGACGATGATAATGATGACTACTTATTTAATAATCCCATCAACACCCCACCAGCTTATGAGCTGTGGTTCAAACAAATCCTATACGACCTGGAATCAATCAGGCAGTTGTTCGCAAACGCGGTTATATTTTATTTCGTTTTTTTTAACGTAAATGAATAAACATGACGTCATCGTCATCAGCATCGTTATCATTACCAGTAACATTATTACCATCAATGTAATTTTTTCATGGGTATTAATATTATATCTACTTCTTCACTGTCATGCTATCAACATCTTCATCACTATCATTAGTTTTAATTGATTTGTTATCACTACTACTAATTAATTAATTAGATACTAATTAATTAATTAATTTAATTGAGTAATTTTGTAGATTATTGACGAAAGCAATTCCCTACTGATCATATCACGTCTTCACAGGATAACGGTTATCTTCAAGGTAGGCAATTAAAATTTAGATTAAAATTTAGATTGAAATGTAAACTAAATTATGTAAATTATACTTTAGAATTAAATTTAAAGTAATAATCAGAGTAAAATTTGAATTAAAAGTTTGATTAAATTTGAAAAAAAAACCGAAAAAAAAATAGATTCTTGTGGACCAGTTTCAAATTTTGGAGACCATGACTCCTATGGACTTTCTAGAATTCAGGTGATCACCGTAGTCGTCGTCGTCATCACCATCATCATCATCACTTCTTCTTCATCATCGTCGTCGTCATCTTCACCATCATTTGTCATCACCAACATTATCACCATCTTCATCATATCATCATCTTCACCATCTTAATCGTATTGATCATCAACTCAACCATCATCGTCGTCGTCGTCATCATCATGCTGCACGCAGAGGTTATTTGGAGGCGGGCTCTGGATTCCAAAGCCTGCAGTTCAGGCTTTTGGAAAACAAATTGGGGCTAAAAAAAGTTTGTCGAATCATTCTGTAAATTGTCTAAAAATGTTTCGTGAATTTTTTTATACAAATAAATCTACAGAGAATAAAAATAAAAAAAAGACAAAACAAAAAAACTTAAATTAAAATAGTCATATATTTCAATGAAATTTCTCTCTCTCTCTCCCTTTTTCTCTCTTTTTCTCCCTCCCTCTCTCTCCCTCTCTCTATATACTCTATATATACTCTATATATACTCTCTCTCTCTCTCTCTCTCTCTCTATATATATATATATATATATATTTATTTATATTAATTTATATTTATAACAGGAGAACAGAATAGAGTACAACAAGCAGAATTACGCCAAAGTCTTCGAGAAGGAACACCACGTGGAGCAACTGGTTGAATCAATTGAGGAGCCATCCCTGGTTGAACTTGTCATCGTACGTTCATTTCTTTCCTCATTATTTTGTTTCATTATTATTTTTCTAATTTTTCTATTGAGTGAATTGGCTGGTTAATCAATCAACTAGATAATGAAACAATAACTTAAACAATCAATCAATCAACCATCCATTGAACAATCAATTGACCAACCAACCATCCAGCCATCAAAAAATCAACCAATCAACAACCAACCAACATCCAATCGACTTACTAACCAACCATCGACCAATCAATCGACCAACCAACCATCCAACAACCAACCATCAAACCATCAACCAACCGACCGACCAACCAACCAACCAACCAACCAATCAATCAACCACCGAATGAGCAGAAGTGGTTGGAACGCACTCCTGGACTGGCTGTGGATGAATTCGACTTCATCCACAAGTACGAATTCGCAGTAAATCGTTGGTTGGAAGATGAGTACTACATTCCGGCCACTGTCAGTAACCTGTGTGCGTGTGTGTACGTGTGTTTGTTTGTGTGTTAGTGTGTGTACGTGTGTATGTAGGTAAAATTAAAAATATCATTGCGTGATTGTCTATCAGTGCTTTTATTCGACAGAAAATTTTTGTTGCATTTTGTTCATTCTTTAATGAAGACAATGATTTTATATCTCTAAATCATTGAACTGTCGATCCATACACATTTACAATTTTTTTGTAAATGTGTATGGATCGAATTGTGCGTGTGTGTGTGTGTGTGCAGACGAATAAAACTGCGTTTCTTTAATATAAACTACGCGCGATCATTTAAATATTTTTTGATTGCAATTGCATTCGAGATTTCATTTCTCACTTTTCAGAAAGAGACTGACCCGGATAAACAAAAATTAAAATTGGAAACTTACCAAAAGCAAAAGGTACCAAGAATGTGTGTCAATAGTAAATTAAGCGTTCCATAAATAACGCACCACAATAACGATGACTATCGAAACACCTCAAAATACTAAAAAATGAAGACAACCATCCCAAAAATTGCAAACAAATCCAACCAAAAAATCCACATCCATCCACTTCAAACCAGAGAGTCTTCGATGAAGTCATCAACCCGGAGAAATACAACCAGACGGTGGCTCGGGGGGAGAGGAGGTTCTCCCACAAAGCCTTCCAGGGGGCCCTCATGATCATGTTGTACAGGGACGAACCGAGATTCCACCAACCCTTCCAGATCCTTACTCTTCTCATGGATATCGATTCGCTCTTCACGAAATGGAGATGTGAGTTTGTCGGTGTCTCCAGCTGGCGGCATGGTGCTTACACGTTTCTATCAAAAACCATACACTAATATTGTTATCGAATACGAAATTATTGTCTGCCACATTCACCACGTGACTAAATGACCAGATAATCACGTGACAATGGTTCAACGAATGATTGGCAGCAAGATTGGGACAGGGGGTTCTTCAGGGTACCTGTATTTGAGGGCCACCGTAAGGTACGAACGATGCTTCTTAAACTTATTTTAAAAAGTTTTGCTGTCGAACTGTTTTGTTGTAGAAAAACAATTACGATTACTAAAATTATTTTATTCTCACTAATTATTTTTTCATCATTTCATTCCACATATAATCCCAATCTTTACTGCATCATCGCCGTTACCACAAACGCGCCACAACCGACAACATCGCGACCACACGAACGACAGCGACCGCTACAAAGTCTTCCTGGACCTCTTCAACACAGCCACCTACTTAATCCCGAGACACCTGATCCCACAGCTGACTGCCCAGATGAGGAAGAGACTGTCAGTTGCAATTAGGCACGGTATCTCGATGAACGATTCCGTAATTAAACAGATGGAAAGAGTCAGTATTTCAGACGATGATCTGACTGCAGAATTAAGCGCTGTGTAAATGCGTTCATCGGACGAAAATGACGTCATCGTCCATTTATACACAAAGGTACATACACTTATTACAGACCTTATTACAGGTGTTTGTTACATTATCTCGTGATGTGGCATTGTTACGGTTCATTTATAAGGTGATTAAACATTTAAAGAATCATTAAAAACCGTTTAATATCGAACTAAAACCCATGTCCTAAAATATTTTACATAATTACACCAACGGCATTACATCAGTCATTACTGTTAATTAATAAATTGAATTAATTAATTAATTTATATTAATGTTAATTAATAAATAATGTTTGGCAGAGGTTTCGTAGAGATAAATTTGATCTAACAGGTGTAAAAATAGCTTTAGAGTTAAATATTCACAAATGAATTATATACATATACTTACATGCATGCATGCATACATTCATACATACATACATACTTACATACATAAATACATACATACAAACATACATATATACATTAAAATACATACATACAAACATACATATATACATACATACGTACATGCTTACATACATAAATATACACATACATACACATAAATAAACGTTTATTAATTCACATTTATTTGATAAAGAAAGAGTTTCAAAAAATACAATGACAAAAGAAAGCATGTTGAATAATGAAATAATACAGGTATCAAACACCTTGCCAGAATTACTAGCATATGGTATACATATTTGAAAATACGTGTTGTTTGTTTATTTGTGTGTGTGTGTACATGTGTGTGTGTGTGTGTGTGTGAGTATGTGTAGAAGGAACGCTATTAAAGAAAGATAATTATGTACAAGATACAGCCCAACATCCAATCCAGACAGGATGAGAAATGGTTGAATACATGAACATGTAACAAAAAAATTCCTATTATTTTCGGGAATAAACGAATGAATAGATTCATTAAATAATTAAAAAAAAGAAACAAATAAATAAATATATATTTAAAAAATTACATGTATGAATAAGCAAATGAATGAATGTATAAGTGAATGAAAGAATGAATGAACAAATGAATGAATAAGTGAATGAATGGACATTTGAAGCATAAATATACCTAACAGTTATTTATCAGTTTGTCAGACGAGACAATGAATAAAATAAAATTTAGAAAAAAATACATAAACATAAAAAATTTCAAATCAAAAAGCGTTTCATTTAATTTATAAATACTTCTAAAAAATATTATTTCAATAATAATTTTAATTAATCATAACAATATTATAATTTATTACAATCATTTATGACTTAATGAGGCCTGAATATGAAGTACAATGTGATGCAGATGATGAAAAACATTATGAGACCCATGGCTATCAGTAGCACCCTGTTCTGAATTGTCCTGAATAATTTAAACAGAAAACATTCAATACTATTAAATAACAATATTTATTTATTTATTAACTATACTTCTTTATTTTATAATACAACAATTACAACAATGACGACTAAGTTTGCGGATCAAACAACAACAACAACACACGTTTAGACAACATTTTCATTTTCTCCGAGATCGGGGGTTGCCGTTTGGCTACCTATGATGAAACCGAAATACCCCTTGACGCCATTCCATCATAAGTAATTTATTTGGCTAATTTTTACGCAGGACGCCCTTCCTTACGCAACCACAGTTATAAGCGGTGGGCCTAGCCTTTGATGATCCAACATCACTCACAAGGCAGTGAGGGTCAGTTTAATGTCATAACCAGGACATAACTAAGTTTGCGGATCAAATTGAAAAAATACTACAATGAACTATTTAACCACCTACCTCTTCATCATAGAAGTTAAAACTCTAGAGCTTCTACCCAGTTCTTCATTTGTCTGATACAGCTGAATGGTAATAGAAATTCACTAGTAAATTGAAAAATTTGATGAAAAAAATCTTATTAAAAACCGAAAAAACATATTTAAAAACCATAAAAACTAATAATTTATTAAATATCTAGAATGAGATATTCATTTAAGAGTTAGCTGAATGTAAAAACTATTAGAAAATATGAAATTCTTATAGCTAGCAAAACTCATTATGAACAAAGAGTAACAAAAAGACAACTCATGAAATATAACTTTTACTACAAACAATTGCATTTATTAATTGTATAAAAAAATTGAAAACTTTATGAATAAAACTGTTTAAATAAATAAAAAACATAAATAAAGAAATAATTTAAAATTAAAAAAAAATTGTATACAATACCCTGTCCTTAGCTTTTTGTATGGTACTTCTTTGCAGATTTAAATCATCTAAAATTTGGGCCCCTATTTGCTCTACAATAATTTTTGTAAACAAGTAAAACAAAGTTGTTTATTGAAGATTTCAAACAATAATTACAAAACAAGCAAAAGGTTTATATAATAATTACAAGATATATAAATATAAATTAATAAACTCCAAATATTGAAAACTCTAGACCGGTTTCTAAGCAAATTTTATAGCCATCATCTAATCTTTGGGTGGTTTTTTCTAACTTCTCATTGTTATCTAACAATCTTGTTCTCTAAAGTTTCAATTTATTATTACAATAAATATATTTTATATAATCAATGAAATTAATTAGAATTAATAATATTAAATCATTTTATATTTAGACAAATTAATTGAATTTATCACATTAAATCATTTTATTTTTGGAAGAAATTCATTACATAATAAAATATAAACACGAAAGAGAAAACGAGACATAGAAGAAAAAAATTGATTAAAATGAAGTTTTAACAAAATTTTTTACATAAAATCCATACATACATAAAATACATACATAAAATACATACATACATACATAAAATACACACATACATACCTAAAATACATACACACATACAAAAAATTTTCTATAAAATGAAATCATGACAAAATTTAGAAAAAATAAAAATAATCAATCAATCAATTAATCTTCGTTTAGTGTTCAAAGACCCAGTTCCCCGAGGTAGGACGTTAGAAAAAATAAAAATAATTAAAAAAAGATCTTACCATGTCCTCAACCGACTGGGCATCATCATTCCCAAATAGTTCATCCCTCAGTTGAGAATTATAGGACATGGCAACACGAGATTTTTTCTGCCAGACGCCAAAAATTATCAATTTTCATGTTTTTAAAAATAAAGATATGAATACATTTATTGCAAAAGGGATTAGTTATAAATGTGTGTATGTGTGCGTTTGTTTGTTTGTGTATGTGAGAGAGAGAGAGAGAGAGAGAGAGAGAGAGAGAAAGAGAGTGAGAGTTTAGGCACACCACTTACTACTAACAAAATCTTTCTCTAATTTGATCAATTCAACTTCATAACTCTTCAGTCTTGTTTGATATTTATCTCGTTCTTTCTGTGTAATCCCTCTCACTTCTAATTCTAGTTGCTCTAACTTAAGAATAATAGTAAATAAATTAATTAGTTAATTCTGTATTAAATAATTTAATTTTAATTATTTCATTATATAAGTAAAAAAGTAACGCAGCTTTTAAATAATTTTACACAAATCACATATCAATGAAAAAATCTCAATACATCTCAGATCGCCATAGTTATACAACATACCATACATACCAACATAATTACACATTATCATTAATCATTTAATTAACTTATTTAAAATTTAATTAAAGCCAAGATTAAATTTACGAAATTCAAGTTAATTCAATTAATAAAAACTAAAGGTTTGTTGAAAGTTAAGTTTATTTTATATTTACATATAGTGCACAATACCAGTTCATTGGCCTCTTGAATCAGTCTTTCAACCTTTGCTGTGGCTTGTTGCTTTTCATCTGAAAATTACATAGACACTATTTTACAATTTATCATCAAATCTTTATACAACTTTTAATTTTTCAAGTATTAAGTTTAAATTTTCTTAATTAAATTAAATTAAATTTTAACTATTAATTATTAAAAAGTTAATTTCAAAAAATAACAAAAAATTAAAGGCTAAGTAATTAAACCAAAAGTTTAAATATAAAAAAAAACACGTACGTCCAGTTAATCTGTTTAATTTGTTAGTTTCTGAAATAATTTCTGCAGTTACAAGAGAAAATTGTTGTTCGTATGTTTCGATGAGATTTACTGTATCCGCCATTTTAATTAGGTTACTACTTAAGTTCATTTTTAAATTTAAGAGATGGTGGGAAACTCAAAATTGCATAACTTCATTGTGCGTACAGGCATCGCATAATGCATAATGGATATATATCCATCCATGCCTACCTTATAGTTTCACACATTGATGAATTTTCATGGTTTCACATGTGTTTAAGGATGAAGATTGAACAATTTAGCAAAGAATACATAAACTGTTACGTGTTCCTTTCTCTTTGCAAATCAATGAATAAGCCAGATTTAACACAGAATTGTTATAGTGATTCAAATAACTAACTAATACAAGCTTTTGGATAGGACGAATAATCAGACATATATGTGTGTACATGGAGATGCACATATAAATTTATATAATAAATGCATATGTTTGATCTTACTTGCAAATGATGGAAACATTTGAAGACAAATCGTAGTAGCATTGTTGTCTAAAAATTAGTGAAATTAAATATAGAAAGAAACAGTGGATGGTAGGTGTAAAGTGTGGTAGGTACACGTGTGGTTCTTATAACATGTACTCACCCTAATGTAAATTAACATGTATATAAGTACTGCATTTACATTACATTTGCCTAATGCCTCTAAAAATGTAATATAGGGAAAAAGCCATGCGGAAAATTTGCGAAAAATTTCAACAAAAATACGTTTTATTAGTTATATATACAAATGAATCGATACAGTTATTGGTACAATTATTTATAGATGTTTTTATAAATTTATACATATGTGTATTTATGCAAACATACATGAACTGTATATACTTTAAATTTATTTATAAGGTAATACAATCAATCTTTACAAAGTAATCACAATGTACTATTATTGCAAGCCATTTGATTAGCACGAATCTCATTCATAGCCTAGTGGTTGGATGTTCTTATGCGCTTGAATATATACATATATCTTATATATATATATATATATATATATATATATATATATATATATATATCTTTTGTATATATATATATATATACAATGTGTAGTTGACAATGCATTTACAATTACATGTATGTACCAACCACTATACTTTCAATGTTTTAACTTCCGTGATATATATAAATATATATATATATATATATCATTATTATATATATTACAGCAATAAATAGGTTGCATTTGTTACATGTAAAGTAATTAGTTAGAGTAAATTAGGTTTTATAATAATTTGATAATTAATTGATGAAATTTTGTTTTAATTAAGCGTCTCATTATTATTAATTTCGTCTGCATTTAGTGTCTATAAAAGTTAATTGAAGTTTTGATTTTTGACCCACCCTTGTAAAATATTTTGTAAAAAATTGGTTTAAATCTTTTATTAAAGTTGGACTTTAAAAATTTTATTTAGAGGAAATGGCAGACGATCTAACAACTTTATCTGAGTTAAATGAAAAAACGATTGTCGAAGAAATTAGAAAAAGATATGCTAGCAAGAAAATCTATGTTAGTTGTGTTGTATTTTTTATTAAATTAATTATTTTTGATTTTATTTATATAAATTTATTTTATTTTAATGTTGTCTTATTCAGTTTCGTTAGTAGTATTAAATTTAATTAGTAGCAGTAGTATAATATTTTAAAAATTATTTCTTGTTAGTTATTATATTTATTTTACAATTACATCAAATGTAATCTTTGTTTTTGATTAAATTAAAAATTAGATAATAATGACCCTACCTACATTGGTAATAAGTTAAAATTAAATTAATAAAAATAGTTCATTTAATATTAAGTTAATTAGTTATTATTATTAATCATCCACTTTTTTTAATAGACTTACATTGGTGATATTCTAATTGCAATTAACCCTTATGAAGTCTTACCAATTTATGGCTCAATGGTAAGTTTTTGTTATGATTATTTATACTTATCAAAATTTTTTGTGAATCATTTTTAATAAATTTATAAATAACATTTACAATGTTACAATATGTGATCTGAATAGATTTCAACATATATTCAACATTAATATAAAATCACATTTTATATAGAGCATGCAGAAGATATAGATAAATGTTTTCTTTTTTTTTACAAAAATATTACACAACAATATTTATTCTTGAATGAGTTAAGTACAAGATTTATCTTGTCAATCTCATTTTAACTCATCAAATATTCATACCAACTAAGGGAGAAATAAACCTGTTATTCACTAGTTCACTAAATTCAATAATTTTATTTATAAAATACCCTAATGCACCATCCTAAACAGAATTGGCTGAAGTATACAGACGTGAAAAACAAAACCGACCACGAGCCGCACATATACATCATATCAGATCGAGCATATCAGAACATGAAAAGAACAGGCTACAATCAGTGCTGTGTCGTCAGCGGGGAATCAGGAGCCGGTTAGGGATGTGCTGGAAATTTGAAAAATATTCAACTACTTGCGTCTATATCATAGAGATGTACTATCAATTTACTATTACTGCTACTCAGTTACTTTTATTTATACTACTGATTATTTAATTTTATTTATACTACAGAGATGGGATAACAACTTAGTACTACTTATTTATATTACTATACTACCTATATTTATATTTATGGCAGCATTAGAAGCAGTACTAGCAGTAGTACAGATTTCCAATTAGTTACAAGATAGAGGGCAAAAAGCTGGTATTGGAGGAAGTTTCTCAAACTGGAGCAATGTTACAAGTGGGGTTCCTCAAGGATTCGTATTAGGACCGTTGCTATTTGTAATATTTATCAACGATATTGATCTAGGAATAAATTCTAAAATTTAAAAATTTGGAGATGACACTAAATTATGTGCTGTTGTAGACAATGATAAAGATATTGAAAAAATATGCAAATGGGCAGAGGTTTGGCAGATGGTATTCAACACTAACAAATCTGCAGTCATACACATGGGACCGAAAAACATGGCAAACGTATTCAAACTTGAAGACACACCACTAAAAAATGTAGAAGAGGAAAAGGACCTAGGGGCGATAATTCATTGGAATGGTAAGGTAGCACGGCAATGAATTGAGGCTGCTTAAAGCGCAAACAGGAATCTGGGTTTAATAAAAATAAGAGTAAAGAAAAGAGATATGATCGTCATATCAAACCAATATAAAGCATTAGTTCGACCCAAGTTCGAGTACTATGTTCAGCTTTGGAATCCAGATTTACAAAAAAACAAACATATTCAAAGGAGGGCAACGAGAACGGTAATGGAGTGTCGCAGTATGCCATATGAAGACAGATTAAAAGTTGGTGGATTGACAACGTTTGCAAAAAAGAACAAGAAAAGATTTGATTCAGGCATACAAAATCATCACTATGAAGGAGAATTTGGAATCAGCGAAATTTTTTTAGCTTAAGACGAATAGTAAAACAAGAGGGCATAAGTGTAAGATTCTTATAAAAGAAATAAATATACAAATATATAAATACACGTTACAATTACACATTACTATTACACGTTACAATTACAGGTTACAATTACATATTACAGTTACAACTTGATTACAGGTAAGACAGAGAGCACAAAACTCATGATAGAACACATAGCCCAATTGTGCAAGCATGATGAGTCAACACTGCATGAGAAAATTGTTGAGGTGAATAATAATTATTAATTATCATCATTGTCAGTTTTATTATTGTTGTTGGTGTATAATTTGTTGTTTTTATTCTTATTATTTTTATTCTGATTATTATTATTATTGTCATCATTCTTGTTAATGCCAAATTTGATTAGCCACATTTTGACCAACACAAATGATGTTTGATGATGGTAACGTATGTTGCTAGTGCTTACTAAAATGTACTACTTATTTATATTACTTAACTACCTATATTTATATTTGTGGGAGTACAATATTAGAAGCAGTAGTAAAAGTAGTGTAATACTAATACGCATTAATATCTCTTAATTTGTTTTTCGTTTAAAATATTAGCAGCGTTTGATGTTACTTAAACAAAAAAATCCATAAATCATGTTACTTATTTTGAGACGAAAAACCTGACAACTTTGATATTTCCAAATCATCTTTTGTATTTTTGCATCTAGCGTTAATCTACGCACCCACTGCGTTGCATATGATAGGAGGGATCACTTTGCGTTCGATCCTGGTCACCGCAAAATCAGTGCCAGGTACCTTAACCATTACGCCATTCCTCTTTTGTTTAGGTGAACCCGTTGTTAGAGGCATTTGGAAATGCACAAACAGTCATCAACAACAACAGCAGTAGGTTTGGAAAGTTCATCGAACTCATCTTCGATGATTCTGGGCAAATTTTGGGAGGTTGGCTGTAAAGGCAATCAGTGATGATGTTTGTTACATTGAAATGATGTATTTGTGTGGCCATGTATTTGTGTTGTGATCGTTTCGACGTTCGTTTTAGCTAGGAATGTCATATTCCCAATTGCCGGTCACACGAAATTTTTCGACCGATCTAACTTACGGTGAAAAGTGTCGATACACCGTTCAAAACTACTCGAAATCCAAGTGTTCATACTGCGGCACTCGAGTAAAAGTATTCAGCGAGTACTTCTCGCCTCATCACTAAATTTTATTATTTAAAAATAGTTACAATATAAAGTGACATTAAAAAAAAATATGGCAGCCAAACTGTCAGAGTACTTGTTGGAGAAATCTCGTCTGGTGAACCACGGCCCTGGTGAGAGGAACTTCCACATCTTCTACTACTTCTTCGCCGGCCTCGATCAGTCGAAACTCAAGTGCAATATGATTTCCAAGCCCGAGTCACACAGGTGAGATGTGGAGTAGATTGGAGGGAATGAAACTTTAGAAATAGTGATAATTTAGAGGGTGATTTTTTTTTGGGTGTGTGTGTAAATTTTAGACATAGTGATGTAAGAGAATAAATATTTAGGGGGTGATTTTTATTATGACGTCAAAGGGTGCGTGCATTTGCGTGTACACACATGTTGTACAAGTCTGTGTACAAACATCTGCAAATGTTTTTGTGTTTGTGTGCATTAGATTTATAATTCGGATGATGAGAATTGCGGTGAAGATAAAAATGATGGTACTGATGTTTTTGATGTTGTTGTATGTTGTTTTTAAGATGTTTCGCTGACAGCAATGGTTACGACTACACTAAAAATTAGTAGCAACAAGACTAGCAACAAGATTTGCAACAAGACTTGCAACAAGACTAGCGACAAAACTAGCGACAAGACTATCAACAAGACTTGCAACAAGACTATCAACAAGACTAGCGACAAATAAGACACAGACAACACACACACATACACACACACTCACACACAGAATAATGGTAGAGAGTGATGGAGGAAAAGTATTCAGAGACACAACGCATATGAACGAATGCAAGCAGACGTGGAATGTCCTGCTCAATATCATGAAACATGTCGGATTCTCATCTGAGGTGGCATTTTTGTTCTTGTTATTTGTTGTTTTTTGTCGTTTTTTAGTTATTGTTGCGTAATGTAGTTGTTGCTTCTTGATGTTTGTCTATGCACATTTGTATGGATTTTGTGTGTATGTATGTCAATCGAAGTTCATGTACAAATAACATAAAATCTTGTAACATAACTTTCATACTTACTGTCATATTATTTGAATGAATTTTTCAACAACTAATTCATTCATCCAATCAGTTAATTTATTAATCAGTCAATATTATTTATATAGCGCTATCTTTGTAGATTCTAGAGGCTCTTTTTAACGTTTCAACAAAGACATGGCATACACTGGATTTCAAGCGAGGATCTGCTTGCGTTCGAACTCGATCCCTGCGATACAGGATCAAACGCTTTAACCATTACATTAAAACACCGGCACGTCACTCAGTCATAATTTGGTTGTTATTTGACGTCATGAAAGGAGGTGAACGGGATAGAAGCGGTACTGGCGGCCATCTTGCACATATCCGACATCAAATTCATTCCGCATCCGGAAACGGAAGGAGTATCCATTGAAGACGATGCCAAGTTGGCTCTAAGTATGTTGCCAGGATGATGATGATGAGGAGGAGGAGGAGGAGGAAGAGAACGATGATGGTGTTGACTGCTGTTAAAAATTCGTATCAATTTGGCCGTGGAAATTTGAAAATTTAAGTTTGAAATGGTTATCGATCGTTGGCCATAAGAATGATGGTTGAGTTTAGTAAATAAAATGTATTTGAATAATGAGATAAAACAAAACAATATTTCATTTGAAAATTTTCAAATTTTCAGCCGCTCAATTGCTTCAGGTCTGTGCAGAAAAGTTCATTGATGCCCTCATCTCATCATCCAGCGTTGTTGGGCGTAAGTTGTCGTCGTTGTTGCTTGCCTGCCTGCTGTTATGCTTTATTTACTGTCATCATCGCGATGGTCATCGTGCGTCTTTTCATAACATCATCATTATCGTTATCACACATCATTATTATCGTCGTCGTCATTATATCACCACACGACATCATTATTAAGGACATCATGACGTCATCATCGACACCGTTGTCGTCATCATCGTCACCACACATCATCATCGTCATCATGACGTCATCCTTCTCAGACGAAACGATAACGAGTATGAAAAATGAGATGCAGGCAAGTGACGGCAGGGATGCCCTTGCGAAAGCACTCTACGGTCGCATGTTCTCTTGGATTGTACTGCAGATAAATAACCTCCTAGCTCCTAAGAAAATGTATTTCGTGGCAGTGGGACGATGTTGTCGTTTGCTTGTTGTTGTTTGGTTGTTGGTGGTGGTGACGATGTTGTTTCGACGTTGTTTTGTTGTTGTACACGCAACTTCAGTTTTCTTTTATAGCCCTTCTTCATTTTGATGTTTCTTTATTTATTCATCTTTTTTTTATTCACCATTACGACTCTATTACATTTCTTAAAAACTGCAAACGCATCCAGACAAAACTCGTCCCAGTCGCAAAATTGGATCGGCATCCTGGACATATATGGCTTTGAGAATTTCAAGAACAACAGTTTCGAGCAGATGTGCATCAACATTGCCAATGAGCAGCTTCAACTTTTCTTCAACCACCACATTTTTAAACTGGAGTTGGAAGAGTATGCCAAGGAAGGGATCAACGGCAGCAGTGTCGTCTTCGTCGATAACCAACCGCTGCTGGATCTTTTCCTGGTCTGAAATCGAATTTCATATAATTTTTTTGAAAATTTTTTTGGGTTGTTTCACTGTGTTTTTTACTTTGTTTTCGAATGTTGTTTTTTATTGTTTGAAGATTTTAGAAGAAAAATTGTAGCTGTAGTCATTAATTATTTACCTATTAATTAATTAATTCATTCATTCATTCATTCATTTATTCATTCATTCATCTATCCATTCATATTAATTAACCACCGAAATAATTTATCCCCTAATTTACCCCTTAGCAAACAAGCCCTCCAGGAATATTCGCCCTCCTCGACGAAGAGAGCAAGTTCCCACAGGCATCTGACCAGACGCTGATCGACAAATTAGTGAAAAATATGACGGGCAAACCTGACTTCCAATCAACAAAGGGGCAAAGCTTGTTCTTCACTATCAAACATTTTGCTGGGCCCGTAAGTTTTGTATAGATTCTCAGGTTAATTTCGTAATTTTTAAAAATAATTTTAAGAGGAATCACTAACACAGACACGCACCACGTGTGTGAATGTGGTGGTGATTTGGTGATCACGTTTATCCTCCACGCATCACACTCATCGAGAGAGAGAGAAAGAGAGAGAGAGAGAGAGAGAGAGAAAGAGAGGGCAGGTAATAGGCGGGGTTGCATCTTTGTTACCTCTTCAATCCCAGGTTACTTACAATGTGGATGGTTTCCTGGAAAAAAACCGCGACACTCTGAGTGACAACGTGATCAATTGCCTCAAAGACTCAAACTGCCTCATCGTTTTTGAACTGTTTTCGCCGTTTTCTGAAATCGGAAGGTTTGGTTGCTGGTGGTCTTGTTTGCTTGGTAGAGGAGGGGATGTTTTTGGCTGTTGGGGTTGTGATTTTTGTTTGTTTGGGTGTTGTTTTGTTGTTTGGGTGATGTATTTTGTTGTTTGGATGTTTTGTTGTTTGTGTGTTTCGTTGTTTTTAACGTGTTGTTATTGATCAAATTGGCCTCGTTCAGCTGACTCCAACGTTATTACTTCTTATTTAAAAATTCTTCACACACGACGGCGTCCACACACTCCACATTTCTTGCATTTTAACCGGGGCGACAACAAATCAAACAACACCAACGCATTCCTCTTACTAATAACACATTCTTCACACACACCACACACACACTCTACACTCACACTCCACACACTTTTTCTCTCTCACACACACACTTTCTTTCACACAAACACACATTTAAATACCTATCCAGCATAAGCGGGACGGCCACAACCCGCAAGAGGAACATGAGGATGTCCCGTTTGATGGACGGGGTGGTGTTCAGGGCTACCCCCGTCAACTCGGTCAACCAAATGAAGAGGGCAAGCATTGTTGCTAAGAAGAGTGTGTAAGTGAAGGTGTTTGTTGTCGTTGTTGTCGTTGTTGTGGTTGTTATGCGTGTTTTTGCTTATGTAGTTGTCTATTCGATGTTTTTTGTTTTTGGTTCTTAATTTTCGTTTTTTTTTTTTTTGTTTATGTTTTCTTTGACCAAAATATCTTTCATTACCTTTTTTCAGGATGTCAAACCAAGTTGGAACAGTAGGGAAGAATGATCAGCTGATGCGGGGTTCCAAAACGTTAGCCACCAGTTTCAAGGTTGCGAACGCTTCAATTTTTTTTTCTTTAGATGGAATTGTGTTTTCTTTTTTTTTTAGTTGGTTGGTTATGGCGATTTCATTCCCAAATATGCGATGTGTGTGTGTTGTGTGTGTGTGTTTGTGTGTGTGTGTGTGTGTGTGGTGTGTGTGTGTGTTGTTTTTTGATACTTTTAAAATCAATTGGAGGAGAATTTGTAATAAAAGTTTGAGAAAACGTTGAATGAAATGTCACAAACATTAACGCAGGCATCGCTTTGCACTCTCATTGAAAAGATGCTAGCAGCCCAACCGCATTTCATCAGGTCGTCATCGTGTTACATATATTTCCTTGAACTATTTATTGCCATTTATTATTAGTTATTTTAATTTATCTCTTAATTTATTTAATTTTGAAATAAACTTAGATGCATCAAGCCGAACGCCATGAAGCAAGCTAGCAATTTCAACGAGAAGATGGTAACGGAGCAGCTGAACTACACTGGAGTGCTAGAAACCATCAAGATTAGGAAACTAGGCTATTCATCAAGGCTTCCATTTCTGGATTTCATACACAGGTCGCTTCAGTCAACTGTCACTTTCTTGCATTTTTTTTTCAATTTTTCTCTCCCAAAGTCAGTTCACGAATCTCGATCCAGTTTGAATATAATTTTTTAATAGATATTTAAATTGAAAAAACCAAAAACCAAATTGGAAAAGTAAACTGGCGAATTCGCCATCCAATCCAGACAATTCAATCCACATTTTTAAAATTTTTGAAATCAGGTACGGCGTCATCGGAGGTGTGTTGACGCTGAAGAACCCGGAGCAAGGCAGGGAGATAAGCTTGCAGATTATGAACAAGGTACAGATGACAGATTGGCAAGTTGGAAAAACTAAGGTGGGTGGAGTCTGACCTTTCTTCAAGTTACGTCAGTTAAATAATTAAAATTTGTGAAAAATATCATTGAATTGCAGTTACAAAATGGGGATGGGTTTATATCGCAATTGAAATAACTTTATTAATTCAGTACTTTTTTGTTATCATTCTGTGTATTAAGCAGCAACTGTATTTTATTGCGTTGAACCATATCTTAAATATTCATTTCGATTTTTTCTCAGCTAATCAGTTAACAACCTATCAGCCAATTAACCAACCAATCCATCAATTATTCAATCCCTCAATCATTCATTCCATCAATTAACCAACCAACCATTCCATCAATCATTCAATCCATCAATCAACCAATCCATTAATCCATTCATCAACTAATCCATCTATCAACCAACCATCCAGGTGTTTCTGAAGCACTGGCACATGGAAAAGTTGAACATATCTCTAACTGAAGCCAGCCAGCGAATCATCTCATGCCAGAAACATTGGAGGGCGACAATCGCGCGCCGAAACTTCCAGAAGATGCGACTTCAGGCTGAACAGTATCGCCAGGAGGTGGAAAAGTTTATCGCCATGGTGGCTCAACAACTCGTGGTCTTGGATGCAAAAGTCAGGCAGACTTCTTTGGAGGACGCTGCCAATTTAGAAGATGAGATGAAGGTGTGTGGTGTATGATGAGGCGTGTGGTGGAGTGTGTGGTGGAGTGTGTGGCGGTGTGTGATGTGTTTTATTTCATTCAAAGACGATGCGGAACAACCAACTAACTATCGCAACCTCTTTTTATCGAAAATAACCATTTGGCTTCGGTGTGTGATGTGGTGGAGTGTGTGGTGTGTGGCGGTGTGTGACATTGGTGGTGGAGTATATTGGAGTGTGCTGGAGGTTTGCTGTAGGATGTCGCAGTGTTGTGTGTTATTGCACAGTTGTTTGCGTGCTTTTAATATTTCGTTTTCACATTGTGTCTTCGCTACGACCGGCCATTTGTTGCAATTTAGTTTCGACTTTAATAATACTCCGATGTTTCTCTTTAAAGCACTGGCCATTTATTTTTATTTTGATCAATGTTTCCGTAAAATATATTGACAATCACGCCAATTTTTTCCAGAGAGCAAAAGAAGCAGAAGCTCAAAAGAATCAGCAGCAGCAGGAGCAGCAACCACAGTCACCACAGTCACCACAATCGTCACAGCCGGTCCAGCGTCGTCAGAAAGGTACAATCAGTGCAGCCGCTGGGAAGGAGATAGCCGCACAGATGAACGAGGGTAGCAAGAAGAAAGACATGGGCTCCATTCCTGAAGAGTTCGTTAATTTCTTCTTGACATTTTGTATATTTCCGGATTTAGACGGCGGCATGGTGTAGCGGTATGGTGCCTGTCTTTTAAGACAAGGTGACTGTGTACGAATACGGATCATCTATCTTATCTCTTTTTTTTAATTTTTGTTAGATAAACGAGTATTCAAATGCTTATTACCATCAAACGTACAGTTACTAAGATATTTTTACTCAACTTTTTAAATTTGAGTATATAATATATTTTATATAATTTATAATATAATTTATTTTTATATTTTTTTATTAGATTATATTTAAATTGGTTGAAAGATGGATACAAATTTGTTACAAGGTATCCGCTGACGCCAGATCCAGGTCTGCTGACGCCAGATCCAGTCCTACCTGAGGTGTACAAGCCCATCATGAACATCAACAATCCCGACCCATCTGTTGTACGTTATCCATCAACATTTGTTACTTTTTTATCTTTCAATATGCTTTCATTCTCTTTCTCTCACCTTCTTTATCTCTTTTTTTTCTTTCTCCCTCTATTTCTCTCTCTCTCTCTCTCTCTCTCTCTCTCTCTCTCTCTCTCTCTCTCTATTTCTCTCTTTCTCTCTCTCTCTCTTACTTCTTGTATGTCTATTTTTTCACTTCGATGAAGGTTTTCTTGCAAGAATCCCTTGTCAAAATGAACACACTGCAACGCGATATATGGTGCAAGATATATTTGATGGAGAAGAATGCCATTGTAGGCAAGCTCTACGTCAAGGATAAGGAGGTGTTGTTAGATGATTCTAACAACAACTACACTGGCACTCAGTACGTCGTTGTGGATTCTTGTTACTGTATCTGTTTGTATACGTTGTCGTTTGTATACGTTGTTGTTTGTATACGTTGTTGTTTGTATACGTTGTCGTTTGTATACGTTGTTGTTTGTATGTGTTAATGTTTGTATGTGTTGTTGTTTGTATGTGTTGTTGTTTGTATGTGTTGTTGTTTGTATATGATGTTGTTTGTATATGTTGTTTGTGTACGTTGTTGTTTGTATGTGTTGTGGTTTGTATGTGTTGTTGTCTTTTTGTTATTTTATAATGTCTTAATAGTAACAAATTTAATATTTTTCTAAATAACAATTGAAAAAAAAACATTAAAAAATTGCTGTTTGATTGAGACCGATGTACATTATTTTGAACAGTGTTGGTATAAACTCACAGTCGTTCGATCACCTACAAGATAGCGATTGCTCTAAAACTATTAAACACATTGGAAAAGTTATTTCATTTCATTTGTTCATTACGTCTTTGTCTCATCAGCCTCGGCTATACTCTTTATAACATGATATTTAATTTTTTTTTATTTAATTTTATTTTAATTTTTATAAATAAAATTTTAATAGCGAAATATACACTAGTGATTTTTGACCGATATTTTTGGTTCGATTCCAAGAAATTTTTCATCAATCAACGCTCAGTAACTAGGCCCATGTGCAATAATATCTTAATGTTGTTTCTCACTATGTATCTAGGGATTTAAATTATCCCATGACGAATCCTTCAATGTTTATCTGACCTCATACACGAGTCTCAATGTCTACGTTAATGGTGCCAACGAACCCGAGAAAAACTGTTTCCCCAAAGGACTGGACAAAAAGAATCACAAACTATCTAAAGAAAAAACCAAGGTTTTGTTTTTTTTTTGTTTTTCTGTTTTTTTTAATTTTTGGTTTTAGTTTTGATTTTTTTTTATTGGTGAAAAAGTATACGCTCTACAAATTCAACAAAACGACATGTGTCGTGGAGTCGAAGTAACAAATCTCGAACCTCTGTACCTCCTCTGATGAAATTTTAGACTTTCCTTTTACATCTTATAAGTGATGACGTCGATTTATGCCTATTTCATAACTTTACAGGTATTCGACATGGAAGTTTTTAAATCTCGCATCAGCTCCGAGCTGTTGAAGAAGGATTTCGACGTCGCGAGGCTCGTTAAGTTTGCTGTATTTAGTTTTTCAGTCGACAAATGCTCAAATAAATTGGTCGATCAACAGTTTTGGGTGGCAGTTGTCCACCTGGCTGCTCTGGATTTGCTGGGGAAAAATGATGGTCTGTTTGTTGCTTCTGTTTTGAATGGTTTTCATTTTTGCGAAAGGTTTTTTACTAAAGTTTTCTTTAAAAATGAAAAAAAAGAATCATTTTGTTGTTATTTTTTGATATTTCTGCATTTTACCCTTTTTGTTATTTACTAGGATACAGTAATTACATTTTTTGTTCAGTATTTAAGCTTGCACATTGGCGGCTGTAAATTGTATTAGTGGATAGTGTTACAAGCTGCATTGCATATATCAAAATAGACGTTTTTTAAAGAATTATTAACGTTCATTTATTCAATGCAAATATAGTTTATAACGAATTGACCGGGATGAAGATGCTACCAGCACAAAACCAAAACATTAAGGTTGTTATTATTTATTTCCATAGTTTATTTAAATTTCTTTCTATTTGTGTCTGCTCTTACTGATTCTACGTTTGTCAGATTTTTAACTTACAAAGAATAATAATATTGCACTCTGTAAAGAAAGTTTTTGGTGTTGTTTTGTTACATGTTAAGACTCTCTCTCTCTCTCTCTCTCTCCCTCTCCTTCTCCTTCTGTGTGTGTTTTTGTTTTGTAAACCTAATATTTTCGGTTACGAAGTCAAAAACACTAAATCGTTTTTATTCATTACAGGATCTTTGGAGCCGACTTCCGTTCCGAAGATTTGAAATTTAATAAAAAAAAACAGAATCATGTTTTTGTATGTTTGTTTATTTATAAAAATGTTATTTATACATTAAAACGATCTGTCTTATTTAGGATTAGTTAGAGATGATGATTCTTATATTAAACAAAAATTAAATGATAAATAAACTGCATGTTACTAACGTTAACTTCAAAGATCTATTTATTTTCATTCTTTGTCCTATTAACAGTTGATCGTTTTTATACATTTTTTGAGTTTTATCTTTAATATTATTTAAGATCAGATTAAATTATGTTAATGAGTTTAACATACGCCATGTTATTCATCTGACATTGTATGTGTTTAATTAGCAAACAAATTAATCAATTTTTGTGAACTACCAATCATCTTGTTAGCAATTTATTATTTATTATTTAAAATTAGCGCAATAATGCTAATTAATATTTTTGATTCATTAATTATAAATAATGGAATATTTGTAAATAATATTTGTTAGTATTTATTAATTATAATTTATAACCGATCAATGAATGTTTGTTTGCTGTAAAAAATCATTTGTACGTTGATTATACCGTAGAATTTAGGCAGTTTTTATTATGAAATATATATATTGAATAATATCTTATATCATAATATGTTTATGTTTATATCATAACATGTCGTTATATTAGTTTTTATAGCCTGAGTGAAGTTTTTTTGTGAAGTTTTTTTTAATTCAGTTCATCCATTCACGCCGTGTTATTAATTCAATTTTTTAGACCAATAGAGCAGGGGTGGGCAAACTACGGAAGCTATTTTATGCGGCCCGCCAGACCCTGTTTGCCAAAAAACGTCGTCAGCTAGATATTATGACCAAAAATGGATCCACAAATCTTAAAAAAATTCTTCCCTAGGTCAAAAAAATTTGCTATTTGAGTATATCAATCAATCTTCGTTTTGCGTCCAGAGACCCAGTTTCCCGAGGTAGGACGTTGTTTTCTTTGCCATCAACTTTTTTCGCCAAATTAGACGATCAGTTGTATCCATTTCATTTAAATTTAGAGCTTTCATGTCTTGCTCGATTGTTTGCGACCAGGACTTCTTTGGACGGCCTTTGGGACGTGTGCCAGGTACTTCAACATCTGCAAGAGAAGTTATGGCACTGTTTTCACTTCGTTTGACATGACCAAACCACCGCAGACGGTGTTGCCGGCATTCGTCCTTTATATCATCTAAACCAGCACGACGCAGGATTTCGGTAGATTTGATGTGGTCCTTCAGACTAACTCGTTGCATCCATCGGAGCATTTTCATGTCGGTTCGTTGAAGTTGTTGCTCCAGTTTGGTTGTCATTGGCCATGTTTCTGCACCATATAACAACACCGGACGTATCACAGATTTATAAAGTCTTGATCGTAGTGGTAGTAGGATGTCGCGCCGCATCAATATAGAGGCAAGGAGATGCCATTTATTCCAGGCTGCACGTATGCGTGCTCGAACGGCAGCTTCAGCTGTTCCAGTACAATCCAGAACACCCCCTAGATATTGAAACGATGTGACTTTCTCTATTTTAATGGCTTCTTTATTTGAGTATATATGCGGCCCTTCAAATGTAAAATAGCTCTCTGTGCGGCCCTCACCGCAGAAAGTTTGCCCACCCGTTACAGAGGAGAAATCTGTATTTACATTTGACGTGCCATTCCATTTTGAACTTTGTCATTTTGATAAAAATGGAATACAAATAAATAGAAATAAGCTAATAAATAATGAAAAAGGTAATAAAAATCAACAAAAAATATTAAAAATAACAAAAGTAGAAATTGATATAATTCTACCTAATTCATACAATACTGTATAAAATATGGTCTCCTTCCAACAAATTATGTATATATATATTATATATATATATATATATATATAAATATATATGTATGTATATCGTTCTTTTCTCTCTCTCTCTCTCTCTCTCGCTTTCTCTCTGTGTGTGTAGCTTTCATAAAATCTACAACTATATTTATTAAGTTAGAACAATCATTAATATTTGAGTTTGTCATGTCTGTGTGAACTATTATAATGTTAATCGAGTTTTACATGCATACATACATGAATATATATGTATATATAAATATGATTATATATGTATACATAATTATGTATATATATATATATATATATATATATATATAAGCTTTAATCTATCTTATGAGATCTAAATACGCCAGTTGATGTGACAATGTTCAGCTTTTGAAAAGCGCACTTAAATTTTGTATAATTATTTTTCAATATTTTAAAAATGGTTTTATAGTTTATTTTGATTAAATAGTTATTCATTAACTAATTCAATATATATTATATATGATAATTTATTTATATATTTAGTTTTTTATTCGTTAGTTGGTTTAAATATTTTATACAAATATGGTTATTTAATGCTGTATATCGGATGGTTTATTGAAAACTTATATATTTACATGTGGTAATATATACAAGGTTTGCATCGCTAATACATTTACATACACGCACACACACACACACACACACACACACACACACACACACACACACACACACACACACACACACACACACACACACACACACACACATATATATATAGTTTTTTAATTAATAAATGTAAATAGTTACAAAATAAAACAAATCTCTCACAATATGAATATGGATATGAATATGGAAGGTATGTAATTGTTTATTTGAGTAGCATATTATTATTATTGTCGTTGTCGTTATTGTTGTTATCAATTTCAATGCGATTACTGTTATTTGTGTGTATGTGGGTTGTGTGTTTTGTGCGTGTGTGTCTGTGTGTGTGTGTGTATTTTGACAACGAAGATTAGGAAGATTATAGAATTATAGTAAGATTATGGAAGATTAGGAAGTAAATATAATCAATGACGACGATGACGATGATAAAAAATGATGTTGTTTATGAGTTAGTCATGCGAAGTTGAAAAAAATAATTATGCCAAAATGAAATCTATTTTGGAAGTTTTTTTATCCTAATATATTAGAGTTATTTAACTTCTAAATCTTAATTATTTACTTATTATTTTTTTGAAATAAATAAATATATATATATCTACCTTTATATGTGAAATGGTGAATGTAATGATGATGTAACTAAGAAGATAATGATGATGACATCGCTTGAGAAGTATTGGCTATTTTGGCGATGATATAGCCCTGTGGTTGTCTGCATTGATGAAGATGATTATGGTTAGAAATATTTTAAGAGGTGTCAACTTGAATGGTCATACCATCATGAGGTGATCATCACGATGATATGATTACTACAATGATAATGACGACGTTGTTGATGCTGACCATGGATATTATAATAAATATTATATATATTATAATTATATATAATTAAATATTATATATATATATATTATAATATTATATCCATGATGCTGACAGCTGTTTTATAACGAATCATGATGTTGTGATGATAGCTAGCCAGATAGCAGCCAGCGATGATGTGTTGACTGACGAACTGAGCGTAACATTGAAATAATACTGATTAATTTTCACTTGATAGAGCCAACTACGAAGCCTATGATATTGATATGATGTGGTGTTTGATTGTTAATAATGTTTAATAATAAATTGCTAAGTCAAAGACGACAAAACCAACACTGGTGATGAATGACTTTATTGAAATAAAAAGGCATGATAAAGGCTAAAAATTATATCAACATAAGCACACAGACAAACACCACATTCACAAATACAAACAAACACACACAAATACATATACACACATATATTATACATAGTCGTTCAAATAATAAGTAAGGATTTTATAGCGGAGACATAGGGCAATCTAGAGTATCGCATGTTATACCATTCTTCTATTATTATCGATCATATGTATATACTATATATATATATATATACAACTACCTTATATCATATACCTATATTATATATATATTTACAACTAGGCTACTTATACATATTCGTTTTCGTCATAAATAAATTTGAATGTAGGCATTGCCACTTAGACAGAATATGTATAAATATTTATGCACATTTGTATAAATGTAAAATTAATAGATGAATATATCGGTTTGTTAGAGCTTTGTAGAGTTTAAATTACTTTGAAAGGATGTGTAATCAGTAACTGTCAGTAATTTTGCAATGAAGTCGAGAGCTTGGTTATAATTAATTCAATATACGGTTTTTTACTGTATGCTACAATAATTACAATACTATCTGCTCTTAAACACTTAATTGGGTTTTTTAATGTACTTAGTAATCAATGGATTTTTGCTTTTTATATTGTTAAAAATAACAATTAAATTGTTGGGAAAAACGCGAGTAAATATTTTTACAGCAGGGCGTTAGAGTTAATTGTGGATGTGTTGAATAATTAGTTGAATATTTGGATTAAATAATTGGATTTTTACACAGAAAAAACTCCTTTTCTATCTCAAAATGGGTTGGTTCGAATGCGGAGATGATGACGACGATATTGATCGTACGTTAATTAGAGATTTTTTACAGTTTAAATTTATGTGATTTTAATTCATAAATCTGGAATTCTTCGTTGCAGATGCGTGTGTGTAAGTGCATACATGGAATGGTCAGCAGTTTATTTAAATCCTAAAACTTTAGCGCTTTTCATCGATGTATCACGTGACGAATTGGATTAGTTTTCCTAGACTTTAGCAGTGTTTTTAATTTTTAATCATATTTCTTTTTATAAAAGCGATCCAAATTAATGGCAGTTAATGTTTGAATAATTCAATAAATAAATTATTTTTTTTTACATAAACCGCATCCACTTAAAATAAACTTTTCATGTAATATTTTTTGCATTTATTCAACGAAATCACCACTAACCATCCAACACTCATGTTTGGCTGTAAAATTTTAAAGTTTTCTTTTTATCATGGCCTCGGCCAGTCAGTTGATTTTTCCCGGAACGTCATTTGCACCTAATCTGCCCGGTAAGATGGCCGTCTGTCGTTTCTTCCGCACACTCATTGCAAACATCTGTTTGATGAATTTTTATCTTTTTTTGTAAAATTAATTTAAAAATAGTAATTTAATTGTTAATATTTATTTATTATTAACATTTAATTAAAATATTAAATAAATGTATACTTAATTAAATGACTTTGTGACAGTGTATGAGTCTTACTTCTGATTTAATTTAATAATTAAATTAATAATCATCTCCATTGTCACTTTTCATTTCTTTCCTGTTTGTTTGGTGTGCATAGCATGTTCTTGCTTAGATTTATAAAGTTTTATATAAAACTTTTAGTAGTCATTTTATTTTTCAATTAATGTTCATTTGTGCAGTTGCGTCCAACATTTGTTTTTATATTAATTATATTACATATTATAATTAAAATTACGAATTACATAACTTACATGCATATCATGTTTTCATGTTTATTAATATAACCAAGTGGTTTTTACAAATATTTTACTGATATTATTATAATTTAATTTAATATTATAATTAAATTTTTTTTATTATATCAGCTGATGATAGAGAAACTTTTAAGAATTTGGAGGTACAGGTCCTATTGAATTCAGCCAAAATGAGAACGATTTATTTAAACAAGCCTCAGCCAATTAAATATATGTCTAATAAAATTAGGTTAGACAGATTCATTTTTATGATTTCAAAGCTTTTTCAGTTAGCTTCAATTAGAGTTGTTTTCAAAATTTTTTTATTTTATAATAAAAATTGTGATTATTTATCTGTTTACTTATTTTATACATTTACTTATTTAATAGATTAAACTTGTAATTCATTAATTAAATCATTAGTAGCCACCACAAATGGAATGTTTAATTTAAATTAATTTAATTTTAATCAATAATTTTGGAGTTGAACTTAAATGAAATGATAAATGTAAATTAAAATTTTTTTGCCATCAGCACTGCCAAATATAGTGTATTCTTGTTCATACCAAAGTTTCTGTTTGAGCAATTTAGGAGATATGCTAACCTCTTTTTCCTCTTCATTGCATTGTTACAAGTAAAATTCTTTTTTTTTTTAGTTTTTTTTAGATATTGTATCATCTAACCCTTTAAAAAGTCAAAAGAGAAATATGTAAGGTCCTGTAAATTTTTCAATGACCAATAAGCAGATTTTATTCAAACCCTTAAAGACTTTTCAATATCAAACATATTCATTTGTTTGTTCGTTAGTTAATCGATAGTTTGTTACTATTTATGGATGGATAACATAAATTTGCTTTGACATTTTCAACTGTTTTTGCATATATGTTCATTTCTTTTTTTATGTATGATAATATTTTTTAGGGTTCATTTGGTTGTTTCCTGACTTTCGTGTTTAAAATTTGTCACTCAAACTGGCCCTGTTCTCCTCTTTTAACTTTGTATCCTTAACTTTTTGTGTTAAAAAAATAATTTTGATTACTGTATATGTATAATTATTGTTGTTGCTGTTTTTATATATCCTTATTAGTTATTTTATGATAGGTATGTTACATTTTTTGTCCTTAAATGTACCTTTTCAAATATTTTATTCTAAAACTCAAATATTCATTACCTAAAGATTTTGTATGATACTTTTAACTATATATATAATTACAATACATTTTATCGTGTAGTAATTATAACATGTCAATTAATTATATTAAATAGCTAATTATATTTAATCATTTTAAATGCCCTTGATATCCTAGCAAATACCAGGGGTATCACCGACGGGTCAGTTCACGACGGCCATACCTCTGCTTATGATTCTCAGTCTGTCTGCTGTCAAAGAAATATTTGAGGATATCGTTAGTGTCTAGACTATATTATGTGTGATTTATTATCATTGGTTGATATAGTATCACTTTCTGATATAGTATCATTGGTTGATATAATACCATTACTTGGTATAATATTGCTGGTTGATATAGAACTTATTTGTTATAGTGTCATTGTATAGTATATATAGTATATCATTGTATAGATAAAACTGATTGATACAGTATCATTAATTGATTGGTTGATTGATTGATTGATATAATATCATCCATTGGTCGATTTGATATCTTATAACCACAGAAACGAAGGCGGGCAGATGATGAAACAAATAGTAGAAAAGTTTATGGTGTGTTTGTTTCAATGTTTTTTTTCTATCCATTTACCCACTTGAAATTATCATTATCAGCTTACAGTGTCATCAGTGTATATCATATCATACTATCATCAGACATAATCATCAATGTTTATATCACATCATCATATATCATCATGCATCAGTCACCGTTTCCTCAAACTGTTCATAAGGATATCAATTATTAATGATGATATTAATTATAATGGCAATATTAATGATGATAAGGAATGATAGTTAGGATGAAGATGATAATATTAATATTAAAGAAAAAATTGAAATGGAAAAAGCAATAGTAACAATGCAATGGTGCAAATACATACCATTCCACAACAGCCCTGCGGAATAATCACTGGATGGAGATTGAATGGCGCAAGATTGTCGTCGGTGATATTGTCAAGGTGACCAATGAAAATTTTTTCCCTGCTGACCTAGTTCTCCTATCCAGTAGGTAGGTACTGACGTTAAGTTTTACCTGTGTATTGGTTTTGTGTCTTTTGTATTTCGATTGTTTCTGATTGATTGGATATAGGTTTATATCACTGTTGTATCTTGTATCTTTTTTTATGTTGTTGTTTGTATCTCTATTGTATCTTGTATATGTTGTATTTGTTTCCATATTGTATACTCTCTGTTTTTTAATGTTTGCTATCTGTTATTGTTGTTGGTATTTTCCTTTTGTATCTTACACTTGTTTTTATGTACGCTCGTCGTTTGTATATTTTTTGTATGCCTTGTATGCTATTTATTTATTGGTTTGTATTAATTTGCATCTGGCTGGTATCTCAAGTTTAATGGGTTTGGGATGTTTCTTCTAGCTAGTAGGATAATATAGGTACCATGATGAAATATTTTGTCAAGAGGCAATGTTAATAATAATGTTTCAATTTCTTATATTATACATGTGTGTTATATGTTTTTTGTGTGGTTTGTTTGTACGTGCGTATGTGTACGTATGTGTGTGTATACGTACGTGTGTATACGTACGTGTGTGTGTGTGTGTGTGTGTGTGTGTGTGTGTGTGTGTGTGTGTGTTTGTATATCATATTATGCTGTCCTTATCATTGTTATCATTCGTTGTATCACAATCACATTACCATAACTTTTATAATGACTGTGTACTTTTCAATTGAGACTGTTGGTTAATACATAGAAGCTAATTTCCTCTTAAATTGTTTCTTATGAGTGCAGCTTTGTGAGTACTAAGCTTAAATATCATTGGGATTATTATTATCATCATCGTTATCACCATTCTAATCGTTGTGGTTGTTATTATCATCGTCATCTTCGTTATGATAGATATCATCACTATAAGTATCATTTGTAATAAATAATCATAAAAAAATTATCACTCGGACTAATTGAGTGAGTAAATGGATGAATGAGTGGTTAATTAAGGAATGAATGAATGTATGGCTGAATGAATGAATGAATGAATGAAAGAATGGATGAATGAATGAATAAGTAACTGAGTGAGGTTTAGTATGTATAACTTATGCAGTTCTATTTGCAAGTTGCTGTGTATTTATTGATTTTCTACCTACCGTACATAACACTGTGTGTGACTGTGATGTGATGGTGCTGATGACGACGGTGATTATGATTATGATAGTTTCGGTTTTGATGACGATGATGATGACGATGATGATGATGATGACGACGATTGGTAGATAAGGTGGATATTAATTAGCCACCCTAGCTAGCACTATAATATAATATCAGATTACACTTTGATTTGTTTTAAATTCAACCACAGTTCAAGTGTATCACATTATTGTTTCACTCAGCCAAATGTTTAATTTCTCTTCTATCCAATGTTTAATTTTGCTAGAGGTATTATACACTCACTGCCTAAATTCTGTTTTGTTTAACTCCATCTTACAACAGTCAATGTTTGCGTTTGCGTTTGCGTGTTAGTGTGTCTTTGCGCGCGTGTGCGCGTGTGCGTGTGTGCGTGCGTTATTCAAAGCAGATTCAAAATTTTAAATGTTTTGTGGCAAACATTTGTTTAAACACGTTTTCTTGTGTTATGTGTTTATATAGCGTGTTTATATTTGTATGCATATGTGAATGCATGCTTGTGTTAGGTATGTGCGTGTATGTGTGCGTACGTGCGTGTGTGTGGTATAAATAGCAATAGCAGTTAGTAGCAGTATTTACACATGTAGTAGCCCTAGTATTATTGGTAGTAGTTTAGTGTTGTAGATATAATTGTTAGTAACAATCCTATTTTTTGATGATTTTCATAGTAGTAAAACCTGTTTGCATCCATTAAATTGCAATTTAATCTCGCAGTTGTAATTTTAGTAAAAGTTTGAAAGAATGCTGGTGTATTTGAAGATTGTATTGGATAAACTAAATACAACAGTGAGCCGAGAGGTATGTGCTACATTGAGACCTCAAACTTGGATGGGGAGACAAATCTCAAGATAAGACAGGTGGGTGCAAGCTTTTATAAATGAAGTTTTTCAATTGTGATTACTAAATCATTTCAAATTTGTTTTACTCATGTTTTTTTTTATTCTGTTATCAATTTTATTGAACAAATTATTCTTTATTTTTATTCTTCTCCACAAATAAGATTTAAGCAATTAATTTGGTGAAATAAATTTCATGTTTTTGTTGCTATTTTTACATTAAAGATTTCGCCAGAGACAAATCATTTCTATCATTAATTATCATGTATATATATATATATATATGTATATATATATATATATCTCCTTAATATCACTCATTAATACTTTCACCTTTAGTTTTATCTCATTATTGCTTTCTTGGATGTCTGTCTTCTGGTGTGGTCTTGTCTGGATTGGATTTTATTCTCTATGTCTGGTGTCTGGTCACATCCGTCTATTTTATCCCATTCCATTGAGTCCCATTCCGTAAGATTCGACTCCATTGCATCCCATTTTTCTATTATAATGAGGGTGGAAATGATGATGGGTTATAAGAGTTTTATTAGTTGTTTCTTGGTGAATTCTCAGAAGCGCCAACAACAACAACAACAACGCCACCACGCGAAACTGCGAATTTTTATGAGATAAGCAGGAATCTCTTTTTCAAAATTTTAAAAGGTTGCAGCTTGCTGCAAGAGCAAGTGCCTCAACCGTCTTATACCATTGCATGCAACTGTAAAAATTATTCCCACCACCAGGGGATTCCTTACACGTCCAACATGGTTACGCACAAGGATGTAGAATCCTTGAATGGCATACTGGAATGCGAACTTCCCAATGCACACCTGTACGATTTTGTGGGCACCTTGAAGCCAAGAGCCAGCAATCCGGAAGAGTAAGTGATGATGAGGGTGACGATGATTAAGATGATGATGATGATTTGGTGATTAAGTGAGGATGATTAAGTTGAGATTGCATTTGAAGGTAATGGTATTTTTGATGATAGATGGTTTATTGTTGGCAATTTGAAACCTGAGAGCTAACTGTGATGATGGTAATAATGACGATGATGGTAATAATGATGATGTAGAGTAGTGTAACTAAAAAGTCGTTTATTTAATACTGTTTTTTCGTGTATTGTAGTTGATTAAGGTATCATTTTCAAATGCTAAGCATGTATTTTAAGCTTAAGGCATAGGTTTTAATGATGTCAGAACCTATGGATATATTTAAATATAAAGTTAAAATAGCCAACTGCCATTAGATCTTACATTAGAACGTTCAAGAATTAATTGCTGACTTATAAATTATCTAATTAATTTTTTTAAATTGAAATTTAATTATCTCGCTAATAACTGTTTCAGTTTGGACTCTATCTTTTTTTCTCTTTCTCTTCCTCTCTCTCTCTCTCTCTCTCTCTCTCTCTCTCTCTCTCTCTTGTGTGTGTATGGATGTTTGTAGTGTGTTCAGTGAATAACAGCCAACAAATAAAATCTTCCATAAAAAATTCAAAGGTCTTATTCTCTTGGTCCGGAGCAAATGCTGTTGAGAGGTTCTATGTTGAGAAATACAAGATGGATATTTGGTTGGTTGTTTGTTTAGTTGGTTGGTTGGCTGGTTGTTTGATTGGTTGACTAGTTGTTTGGTTGGTTAACTGGTTGTTTGGTTGGTTGGCTGGTCGGTTGATAGGTCGGTCGATTGATTGATTGCTAGGTTGGTTGGTTGATTGTTTGATTGATAGGTTGGTTGATTGATTGATAAGGTTAGTTGGTTGATTGATAAGTTGGTTGATTGGCTGGTTAAAAAAAGGTGATAATTTATTGAAAGAGTATGAATCTTTTCAGATTTAAATGATTTCTGATATCATATATATAACATCGCCGAGTTATTTTTCAAAAATTTTATTTTTTTTTAACTAAGCGCAAGTCTGTGATTTCAAGATTTAGATTCAGTAATAATTTGTTTCAAGATTGAATATTTTAAAGATGAGTTATTGTTATTGTATGCATTTGAAATGGGAAGAGACAAGTTTGCACATAAATGAATAAACTAAATTAATTACCTATTTTATGAGTGAAATGAATGAATGAATGAATGAACGAATGAACGAATGAAGGAATGAATGAAAGGAAGTGAATAAACGAATGACTGAAAGTGAATGAATGAACCAATGAACTAATAGAACGAAGGAGGAAATGAATGAGTGAATGAAGTGTATTAGAGATAAAAACAGATGTGAACTCGCATTTATTGATTTGTAGATGTTGTCAGTTTAATGCTTAGCTAAAGAGTGTTCAGTGTGTGCACCGCTCGCGCGCGCACACACGCACACACAAAACATACACGCAACACACATGCACACACAAATGAATATTAAATGATGAAATAACCTTACATAATATGAGATGAAAACAATCCATGGATTACTTATCATGTAACTAAGTAAGCAAACACTACCACTACTTAAAAACATTTTTGTATTATTATATAAAGGTGTTATTCTTGACAAAGCACCACAAACACTGAACCAAACTAATAAACATAGAACGAACAACACGGACAAAACTAAACAATATCATAAAAATTATGGACATGTAAATAAAATCAACAAGATTCCTATTAAAGATAAACTCACAAGCAATCTATCTATCTATTCATTAAATCTATGGGTAATCTCGATTTTTCTCTATAATGTTTTTCTATTTTTTTCTTAATTAATATTCTAATGTTGGATTTTGAAATTTAAGATTGACTATTATTAACTGTAGAGGTTTGGGTTATTTAGTTCATATTAATATATACGTAATATGATATTTTACTTTATGTTATAGTATGATATGTTACACTATGTTAAAATATAGTATGATATGTTACACTATGTTAAGTTATAAGTTGATAAGTAACACTATGTATATTATGTTATAGCATGATATGTTACACTATGTTAAGCTATAGTATGATATGTTACACTATGTTAAGTTATAGTATGATATGTTATACTATGTTATGTTATGTTACGTCTTGTATTACGTTTCACTATTTTATGTTATATAATGTTATTTCAGTTCATTTTAATACACAAACACTCAGGTGTAGTCATTTTCACGGGCCACGAGACAAAGTTCATGTTAAACTCCACTAGTATACCACTGAAACGATCTACCGTCGAAAAGGTCGTCAATTCACAGGTCGGTCGGTCGGTTGGCTGGTTGATTGATTGATTGGTTGGCTGGCTGGTTGATTGATTGATTGGTTGGCTGGTTGATTGATTGGTTGGCTGGTTGATTGATTAGTTGATTGATTGATTTGTTGGCTGGTTGATTGGTTGGTTGGCTGGCTGGTTGATTGATTGGTTGTCTGGTTGATTGGTTGATTAATTGGTCAGTAGAATGTTTGGCTGGTTGGTTGGTCGATTAATTGGCTAATTGATTGATTGATTAGTTGACGGACTGACTGACTAACTATCTGCGTCAGAGTTGGAGGTTTTGCATGCATACATACATATATACAAACATACATACACGCATACATACGTGCATACATACAAACAAACATACACGCACACATATATATACATACACACACTCAAATACAGATTCTCATGCTATTCATCATCCTCATAGTTCTTGCTCTGATATGTGCTGTTGCCAATCAAGTCTGGATCTCACAGAATCTAACGAAACATTGGTATCTTGGTATACAAGGTCCGTTCTTGCGGTTATGACGATGAAATGATGATATATATATATATATATATATATATATATATATATATATAAAATGATATAAAAGTTATATATTCGTACTGGCTGATAATATTAAATGTCGCTAATAAACTAATGGTTGTCTGAATGAATAAATGGATGGATGGATGAAAGAATGAGTGAAAGAGTGAATGAAAGAGCGAATAAAAGAGTGAATGAATGAGTAAAAGGATGAATGGTACTACTACTAATTACCACCTGGCTAATTAATCATTAACTGTTATGGATATATCATATATACACAAATATAATATACATAACTATATTATTATTATATTATATTATATTATATTATATGCCTTCATATAATTATATTATAACTTTTTATATTTTTTAATCTATAATAATAATAATAATAATAAAAAAATAATATTTTAATAATATATGTAATTTATATAATAAAATAAATTATTTACATATATGTGTAGATGCCAGTCCTACAGGTTTCATCCTGAACTTCCTCACCTTCGTTATCCTATACAACAACCTCATACCAATCAGTCTGCAGGTGACACTGGAGATTGTAAGGTTCATACAGGCCATATTCATTCAATGGGTTGGTTGGCTGGCTGGTAGGTTGGTTGGTTCGCTGGCTGGCTGGCTGGTCGGTTGGTTGGTTTGCTGGCTGAGTGGTTGGTTGGTTGATTGGTTGGTTCGCTGGCTGGTTGGTCGGTTGGTTGCCTGGGTGGTTGGTTTGTGCTGGTTTTTAGTTTGATCTCGTTTTTAATTTTTTTTTTTTAAACTTTATTATCTTTATTTATTATGTTTATCTTTTATGAAATAAATGCAATTAGTAATATAATTATTTTAATGATATTACACATATACATAGATACACACATACTTTTATAAAATAAATGCAATTAATAATATAATTATTTTAATGATATTACACATATACATACATACATACATACACACACACACACACACACACACACACACACACACACACACACACACACACACACACACACACACACACATGCATACATACATACATACATACATACATACATACATGTATACGTAAACGAACAAACAGACAGACATGCAAACATACATACGAACAGAAACACAAACTTTTAAAATGTAGGATGTGGAAATGTATGACGCCAAGCACAACATAGCCACTGTTGCCAAAACTTCTAACCTCAATGAAGAACTTGGACAGGTCAGTTAATGAAGAGGATGTCTGCTATTGTGATAACCAAGTTGCTACCGATAAAATATTTTAATAAGTGAAGGAACAAATGAATGAATGAGGGGATAGATGGATAAATGAGTGTATGAATGAATGAATGGATAGATGGATTTACTCACGAGTGAGTTAATGAATGAATAGATGAATGAATGAATAAATGAATGAATGAATAAATAAATGAATGAATGAATGAACAGATGAACGTTGTAATACATCTAGTGAGCACAATTTTTTTCATCCAGGTCAAGTACATATTCTCTGATAAGACTGGGACATTAACGTGCAACGAGATGGAATTTAAAAAATGCAGCGTAGGCGGTGTCAAGTATGGGTGAGTAATTCATTCATTTATTCGTTCGTTCGTTCATTCATCCATTTATTTATTCATTCATTTATCCATTCATTTGTTCATTCATTCATTATTCTTAACTCACGCGTTTGATTACGTTGTTAATTTTCTCTGTGTTTAAATTTCTTTAAGCTTCAAATTCTCAAATTATTAATATTTCTCAATTGTCTACTGATCAAATTACATGTAGATATGTTTGTAAGTTCAATTTTCAATCTGGTTTTTTATATAGTTGCATCAAATCAAACAATCACTCCATCTATCAATTTATTTGTCTGTTTTGTTCATTTACCTATTTCTATATTTCGCAAATGTAGTTTTTTTTGTTTGTTCGCTATAATTTGATAAGGTTATTTGATCTTGAGTGTTGAATAATAAGAAGATATATTGCTATATCGTGTGAATAGGAAAAATATTCAGTTGCAAATTTAAATTCACATTTCTAGAGATGATTCCAAGTCAGTTGATAAGTTTGATGATTCCTCCCTTATGGAAAACTTCAATACTGGGCATGTTAGTTAGATTTTGAATTTTACTTCATTTGTCACTTTTTTATCATCTATCTATCTATCTATCTATCTATCTATCTATCTATCTATCTATCTATCTATCTATCTATCTATCTATCTATCTATCTATCTATCTATCTATCTATCTATCTATCTATCTATCTATCTATCTATCTATCTATCTATCTATCATTATTATGATATTTACTTGTTTACTTATTATCATATCTTAATCATTTCATCACCATCCCATCCGTATTTGTACATCTTCAACAAAATCTTATCATTCGACGTTGGCTTATACGGTGTCAATTTTACAATGACTGCTGCCATTATTGGCACTATGTTAATCATGATGATGATAATATCACCTTGATCATATTTTATTATGACTATTGTCGATATCATCTTAATCATGTTTAATTGCAATCATCGTCTTCATCATCATCATCTTAGTCGTATTGTTGTGATTGCAATCATCGTCTTCATCATCATCATCTTAGTCGTATTTTTGCGGGTTAATTTCCAGGAAACAGCACCTATAATCAGGGATTTCTTAACTCTACTGGCAGTGTGCCACACAGTCGTTCCAGAGAATGACCCGAAAGAGGCCGGCGGTATCAAGTACCTGGCATCTAGTCCCGGTTCGTTTTTTTTTATCGTTTCATTTTTCAATTTCACTTTTTCATTTCATCTTTTTAATATTTTGCTGTCGTCGTCGTCATCATTTTCGGTATTCAGATGAACTTGCTCTTGTTCTGGGTGCCAGAAATCAAGGCTTCAAATTTACCACAAGGACTCCGACTGACGTCACTATTGAAGTGGTTGGTTGGCTGGCTGGCTGGCTGGCTGGTTGGTTTGTTGGTTGGTCGGTTGGTTGATTGGTTGGTTGGTTGGTTGGTTGGTTGATTGGTTGGTTGGTCGGTTGGTTGGTTGGTCGGTTTGTTACGGTTACAACTAGATTTAATGAGTAAAAACTATTTCACGAATCATTAGAACGAATGCATAAACAATTCTACTTAAACAACAACGTAAGCAAACAACAACTAAACATGAACAACTAAACATAAACGAAAACGACATCTGTCTAGTTTGACGTGAAAGAGAAGTATAAGATACTGAACGTCCTAGCATTCACCAGCAATCGTAAGAGGATGTCCGTCATCGTCCGCTTGCCCAATGGCAAGATCAGACTGATGATTAAAGGAGCGGTAGGTTTTTGTTACTCTTATCTCATACTATTTATATTTATTTTTAAATATTTTTTTAAAATATTATTTTATTTAATTATATTTTCGCTGCAAATTCTTCTTCTTTGTCTTTATCATCATCTTCACCATCGCCATCTTCAACTTCACCACCACCAGGACATGGTGATCTTTCCTAGACTGGCCTCCCAGCAACAGTACTTAGATGTCACCATCAACCATCTTGAGGAATTTGCTTCGTTGGGTATGTGAGCTCTCTTGCATTTTTTTTCTTTGTTTTTTTCAATCAATCAATCAATCAAACAATCATTCGATCAATCATTTCTTTTGATTTGGCTAAAGGTGCCTGGTCAAGCATTGCAGTGACCTGGTTCGAGCGCACATATGTGTTTTATATGTCTGGTTTGGTTTTTATAATAAATTAAAATAATAAGAATTTAGTGTTAACAAATTAATAAACCTAACCAACTTAACTAGCTGACAAACCTAACTAACACTAACAAATTTAACTAGCTGACTAACCGAACTAACAATAACTAACAGGTCTAAGAACATTATGCTTGGCGGTGGCTGACATTGATGAGGACAAGTATGAAGAATGGTCGAAAGAGTACCAAGTCGCTAGCACGTCTATCGAGAATCGATACGAGAAACTAGAAACAGCTGCCGAACTCATTGAGAAGGTATGTCACTAGCTGGAAACAGTGAGGATTTATTTAGGTGACTTAGGTAGCTCAGTGATTAGAGTGCTTGTTCACAATCAGTGTTGCTTTCAGTCGAGCACTGGTTTGAAAGCTAAACAACTCCATTATTTTATTACACAGCCTCTCATTAGTTGACGATGACCTGAAAATGATGATGTTTTTATGATGGTGATGTGGAAGATGAATTATGTACGGAATGAAGAACGATGATGATATCTGTGTTTAGAATTTGCAGATTAATAGTACATTTAATATCTCTTAACTTTTTTTAATGAGATAGATAATTTCAATCATTTCAATTAGGATTTACAGCTGTTAGGAGCTACAGCCATTGAGGATAAACTACAGGAGGTATGCAAATTTCGCTTGTTGAAATTTAAATACTACGCATATGACATTTGATATTATGAAAATAAGTTTCTCTCTCTCCCTCTCTTTCTCTCTGTGTCTTGCACGTAGATGTATGTTCGTGTAACGAGTACTAAAATGATAAATGCGAACATAAGGCACAATGATATGATACAATATGATACTAGAATATGATATATGTGATACGACGTAATAGGACATTAAGTAATATGATATGAGATGCATTGTGATTCGGTTTGCACGATATATTATGAATATATGTGATGTGATATGATATATGATATGATACGATATTATATATGATATCATTTATATCATAATGCTCAGGGAGTCCCTGATACGATAGCAAGCCTATTGAAAGCTGAAATTAAGATCTGGGTACTAACTGGCGACAAACAAGAAACCGCTATAAATATCGGTTGGTCGATTGATGTGATGGTGACGTCACATGATGTAACTAAATGTTGATGCGACGATGTAATGTAATGCGACGGCGTTGTAATTTTCTGGGATGATGTTGTGAGTGTGTGTATAATGATAACAATGGGGCGAGATTTGACCCGGTGATGATGATGATGATGATGATGATGTTACGATTGTAATGATGATAATAACGATGGTGATGATACGATTCAATTATAATATTTGGATGGTAATACCACACATACTTTTATTGCAGCTACTCATAATGTTAGAGCATTTATAAATTAACAATGTAAAAATTCTCAAAGGCACTATGCAAATTCATTTGTTATTCATAAAAGATTAATTTTTAAAATAATAATAATTATTATTATTGTTGTTGTTGTTACTGTTGTTGTTATTTTATTTAACAATGACGTAATAATTGTTGTTAAGGTTACGCTTGTCAGTTGTTCACAACAGGAATGAAGATAATATATTTCAACGAGACCACACTGGACGTTGGTTATGTTGATGACGATGTGATGACGACGACGATGATGATGTGATGATGAAGACGATTATCACGTTGACATGATGCGATGAGGACGAAGATGAGATGATGAAGTGATGATCAATGATGATAATGATAATAATAACATTGTTGTAATTAATTCTAATATTAAATATAACAGCATAACATAACAGCATAGCAAATGGTGAAGATGATAATGAGATGAATTTGATGGTGATGGTGATGGTGAAGATGATAATGAGATGAATATGATGATGATGGTGATGGTGATAATGAAATAAATATGACGATGATAATGAGATAAATATGACGATGATAATGTTTCTTGGATTTTTTTCGTTGTACTTACATAGGACACGGCAGAAACATTGAGGAGGTTTTTGCAAGAGTTAGGCGGTAGGGTCAAGCAGGAGAACAATCTTCTTGGATTGATAACCGACGGAGAGGTAGGTCTCAACAGTACACGCATGTACACACCTACATTCACGTATTATATACAAACACATACATACAACTACACTCAAACACTTGTACATAGCTCGTACATATGCACTCACACACAAGTACACATTCATACGCTCGTGTACACAGATTTTACTGCACGTACACAAACAAATACACGTACAAACAAATACACGTATATATGCACGTGTGCACACATATGCATACAATTACACGCATATACACATACGTACGCACAACAGACGCTGAAGCACGCCATGAGTTACAGATGTCGTGAGGACTTTTTGAGTTTGTTGCTGTCATGCAAATCAGTCATCTGCTGTCGCATGTCGCCTCTACAGAAGGCTGAACTCGTTAACCTGGTGAAGGTCGAAGTTAAGTCTATAACGCTAGCTATTGGAGATGGTGCCAATGATGTCGGGATGATACAGGTAGATCGGTGTGGATGTGCACGTGATCAAGTAAATAAATGAGTGAATGAGGGAGTGAATGAGTGAATGAATGAATGAATGAATGAATGAATGAATGAATGAATGAATGAATGAATGAATGAATGAATGAATAAACGAGTGAAGGAATTTTATGGACTTTACATTAATGGTTAATTTTAATTTACTTAACCGCAATGTATGTAAGTATGGACGTATGTATATGCACGCGCACACACTATACACATTTACACAGGTACATTCACACACACACACACACACACACACACACTCATTCACACACACACATCATATTCCGACAGGCTTCCCATGTTGGAGTGGGCGTATGTATGTATGTAAGTATGGACGTATGTATATGTATGGACCTATGTAAGTATGGACGTATGTATATGCACGCGCACACACTATACACATTTACACAGGTACATTCACACACACACACACACACTCATTCACACACACACATCATATTCCGACAGGCTTCCCATGTTGGAGTGGGCATCTCAGGGAGAGAGGGACTGCAGGCTGCCTGTGCATCTGATTATGCTATTGGGCAGGTTTGTTGTTGGGTTGACCAAATTAATGGAATGGTTGAATTAATTGATTGATTAATTAATTAATGAATTAATTGACGGAGGATTGACGAAAATTGTGTATATATCTAATTTTATTAAGATTAGTTGGCTGATATATATTTCAATATTTCACGAAATACGAATCCTGCTTTTAAATCTGTCCGTACATAGATGTACGTACAATAAGTAAGTAATTACACTGTTTCCGTAGTAAAGAAATTGTAATTCTAACTAAATAAGTAAGAGAGTTTGGAGAGTAGCAAGCTGTTTATACGACTCAGAGAACAGTGTAATTTAACACAAGAAAGAATTATTTACCCTTTGCTTTCATTCAATTTTCCCCCCAGTTCCGATTCTTAAAGAGATTGCTGCTGATACATGGTGCTTGGAGTTACAGCAGACTGACAACTTTAATATTGTACTGCTTCTATAAAAATATCTGTCTCTATCTTATAGAGGTTGATGATCATTTCATTATTTTATTTTTAAAATGACGTGTCTGCCTACTTTGTTTATTTTTTTGTTACAAGTTTTTAAATTCATTAACTTTAATTACTCTTACAACAGTTCTGGTTCGCTATAATAAGCGCATTCTCTGGTCAGATCTTATTTGAGAGATGGTGCATAGGTCTCTACAATGTGGTTTGTATCTGCACTTGTGTGATGATAGATATCTTGATGATTTGCGTTTGTGTATCTGTGTTTGTGATTGATATTGTCATCCCTCAATGACAAAAAAACAAACTACCACAACAATTACATGAAACGTACTGCTGCCGCAGCTAGAAACACGACGACTACATACACGACAGCTACAAACGCGACCACAATAACTACAAACACTTCAACAGATTTTCACCGCAGCCACCCCAATGGCCATAGGTCTATTTGATCAGCATTGCAGTGCTGAGAACCTCCTGAAGTACCCTGTTCTATACAAGTTCACCCAAAGTTCTGAATGCTTTAATGTCAAGGTCATTATCATCCACTTGCTTTTGACGTTTGTAATGTTGTACATAAGATACTGACTCGCAAATGCACATACAACATCAGATACATACATACAAGTGTATACAAAAGTGAAGCGTAGCGTAAATAAAATTCCAGGTCTTCTGGGGCTGGTGTATCAACTCCATCTATCATTCTGTTGTATTCTTCTGGCTGGCTGTCGCTATGTTACAACATGGTTTGTACGTTCGTTTGTTTATTTTTTGTTTTATGATGTGCTTCTCTTTCTTTCTCTCTCTCTCTCTCTCTCTCTCTTTCTCTCTCTCTCTCTCTCTCTCTCTCTCTCTATCTCTATCTCGATCTTTTTTCCTCTTTCTCTCTCTCGCTTCAGTTCATATGTAATAGTTACAATCTTAACCCTTGTCCCACCTTGCAATCGAAACCTGTAGAGATAGCATTTGCAGACGGCAAAGTCGGCAACTACTTGTTCCTTGGCAACATGGTTTACACTGTTAGTGCATTGTTCTGCATTTGTTTGTTTGCCGGTATTGCCACAAATTTTGTTATTATTATTGTTGTTGTTATTATTGTTGTTATTTTTATTATTGTGATGTTATTTTTTCAACATGCAGTATGTAGTAGTGGCGGTTTGCATTAAAGGAGGGCTGGAGACTAGCTCCTGGACATGGGTTTGTATTGTTCGGATGAGGATGAGGAGGAAGAAGATGATGATGATGATGATACTTCTGGTGATGATGATGATGGTGATGATGTTTGTGTTACTGAATTAAGAATTAAAAATTAAAAGTTAAACGCTCCAGTGACAAAATTTTCTGACGTTATTTCAAAATTTTTTTTATATCTCATCATCAACATCAGCCTTTAAAACCTTTAGTTACACATTTTCATCATCATCATTTAATCATCACTTTTAGCTCACTCACCTGTCCATATGGGGTAGCATAATCACGTGGTTCCTCTTCCTGGCCATCTACCCGCATTTCTGGCCCACTGTCAATTTGGCTCCCGAGATGGTTGGCATGGTTAGTACCTATATAATGATGATGATGGTGACGATGATGGCGATGATGATCAGTTTAGTTCTTATTTAACTGTACAACGTAGGACAAATACGTATATACATGCCCGCTGTTCTGGTTTGGGCTCTTCCTCATCCCATGCATCGTTCTCTTCAGTGACATCATCTGGAAAGCGTACGTTCACTCACTCACTCACTCACTCATTAACTCATTCATCCATTATTTATTAATTCGTTCGTTTATTCAATCAGTCATTTGTTTGTTCAATTGTTTTTTGTTTCGTCGTCACTCGTTGAAACTTTCAAATATAATTATAATCATTAGTTTACCTCGTATGTCTTAGCAGGTTGTACGATAGTCAAATTCATACACATACATACATATACAATACACACACACACACACACACACACACACACACACACACACACACACGTACACGTACACAAACATACGACGTACACAAACATACGCGTTTACAGATTTCAGCGAACGTTTTACAAGTCAGTTGCCCAGCAGGTCCAGGAGATGGAGGACCTGGAGCATTCGCCGTCGACAATGTCAATACGGAGTTTTCTCACTAAAAGGTACTTGTCTGTCTGTCTGTCTGTCTGTTTGTTTTTCTGCCTGTCTGTCTGTTTGTTTTTCTGCCTGTCTGTCTGTTTGTTTGTCTGTCTGTTTGTTTTTTTGTTTGTTTGTTTGTTTGTGTATCTGTGTGCGTGTAATGATTTTTTCAAACCGTCGCCAGTGGTCGCAAGACGTACATGGAAGATGCCATGAAAGACTTCCCAGCCACTGAGGAGTCTGTAATCAATCAAGAACCACGTATGTCTCACGTCACGTTATGCCGTATCATGTCATGTCATGTCATGTCATGTCATGTCATGTCATGAACGTAGGAGTGCGTTGACGCAGTGGCGAATTTGTGGATGGATGCATTGATGAATGAATGGATGAATGAATTGATAAATGAATGGAAGAATGAATAAATGCTCGAGTGAATGAGTGGCTATATTTGATTGATGAGTGGATAAATGAGCAGTAACTATAACAAATGATAAAAATGTAACAAAAACATTGTAGGCGGTTTTGCATTCTCACAAGAAGAGCATGGCGTCGTTGAACAGGTTAGAGATATATGAGGCAATGAATGATTGAATGAAAAATTGGATGGATGAAGGAATGAATGAATGAAATATTGAACGAATAAATGAACAAATTGATGAATTAATGAATAATTGGATGAATGAAAGAAAGAAAGAATGAAGGAATGGATAAATAAATGGACAACCGTATTACAGTGGGATCGTATGATATGAATCAAGATATTAACATTATTATTATACTTAGTTTATTTTTTAAATTAACATTTTTTGTTGGTTTTTCCTAACTAAGTAAATAAATTTACATTAATTCACGCATAAATTAACATAGATTATTTTTTTTCTTAGGATCATTTGGTCAGAGTGTACGATTCTAACATGGAAAAACCATCCGGGCTATAAATAGAAACAGCGTTTGTTTGCGTAGGTACATACATGACGGTTGTAACCATAACAACAACAACTCATAACAAATCAAAGATCGTGAATTTTTTACTGATTATGATTACGTTGACGATGATGATGACGATGTTGATGATGATGATGATGACAGTGATTATGGTCTTATTACAGATCTGTATTCGTCAGCAGCATCGTCTTCATCATTTTCACCATAAGAAGTTTATTTATTTCTTTCATAGATTAATTGATTGACTGGTTGTTTTATTGATTGGTTGATTGATTGATTGATTGATTGATTGATTGATTGATTGATTGATTGATTGATTGATTGATTGATTGATTGATTGATCAGTGGATCGATTGATTGATCAATGGATCGATTGACTGATTGATCAATCGACTAAACGCTAATATTTTGTTAGCAAATAAGTATGATTAAATTTTTTTTTGCTAGTGTTAAACTCTTTTTAGACTGGAAGTTTTTAAGTTATTCTTTCCTTTGTCTACGTATGTCTGTCTGTCAGTATCTCTCTCTTTCTCTCTCTCACTCTGTGTGTGAATATGCGTATGTGTTAACATACATATGTTTTTTTTACTTCAAATTTAAGTGTATGTGTGACGCTTTGCAACTATTATCGTTAATATTCCTCTGGTAAGAAAGACGTGTTTTATCCATCGCTTTATGTCGGTTACTCTTTCATATCACTGATTTGTCAATCTGTCCACTTTAAATCTTTCTCTCTGTTTGTCTATATATATATATATATATATATATATATATATATATATATATATATATATTTACAATATTCTATAAATTCTACCGAATGTTTGGCGTTAATATGTTTGTAGTAGAATTCGGTAGAATTTATAGAATATTGTAAAAATTATGGTCTATTACCAACATATATATATATATATTCATCTATCTATCTATCTATTTATCTATCTATCTATCTATCTATCTATCTATCTATCTATCTATCTATCTATCTATCTATCTATCTATCTATATATATATATCTATATATCTATCTATTTATCTATCCATTTTATGGGTTACATAGTAGTAAGTTTTGAATGGAGGAACATCGTCGATAAAGTTGTTTTAGGCTAAAATTAGGCAACTTAATTTCAATAAATCATCTGAATGATAGATAAGTTTGATTAGTCTAATGCGTTCGTTCTTCTATTCTATGTTATTTTTGTATTCTTTGTAACTATTTATTCATTCATTCATTTTAATTAATTATTTTCATGTCTGTTTTAAATAATTCTATGAATCTTTTGTGTCTCATTTATTATTGTTCATACTTTTATTTGTTTTTCAAAATTAATAGTAATATTCAATGTCTAACGCCATATTAGTATTTATTATTAATAATTAGTTAATTTGATTAGTTAATTATGTGTATCAGTAAGAGAATTAATCTGATTTAATTTAATTAATTAACTCATTCTGTTACCTATTTTGTTCTGTTGTATGTACTTTGTCATGAATATTATATATATGTAAATGTGTATATATATAAATGTATATATATATATATATATACATTTATATATATGATTAAGACTGTTGGAAATGCAATTATTGATGATAAGGACAGCAAGTTCCTCGTTAGTTAGGAACTTCCAGTTTAATTTTTCCAACGGTAGAAACAGAGGAATCATCGATAATAAGGAGTGACACGTAAAAGTGTCATATTATCCGAAATTGAGGTTCGTAATGACTAATTATATGACCGAAGATGGTATAGGGAATACCAAAAAAAGCTTTTCCATTCTAACACGCTTAAATGTTCTATCATGCTTAAGATAAATAAAAATTTTGGTTTTCGAAGTCAAGAAACTTGACAATGAATGATTTACGGTATACCGTTAGAAAAATCGAAAAATTAAGCAGGAAGCTAACTAACGCGAAACATGTTGTGACTTTCATCAATATATACGTATGTATATGTACATATACGTATGTATATATATACGTATGTATATATATATATATATATATATATATACAGTTATCTAGGAAAGCCACAGACTGTTACTTTCCTAAAAGTATATATATTTTCGATTTTATTATCCTGCTGATTAAAAAACTTGTTTATATATATATATATATATATATATATATATATATGTATGTATATTTGTGTGTGTGTTTGTGTGTGTGTGTGTGTGTTCCGTTACCATTAATAATTGCCAAGAAATATATATATATATTATATTTATCTCGTAATTAAGCTTTTTCATAATAATGAATAGTTAAAACTATTTTTGATTATTTATTAATAATATTATCACTACTTGAATAACCTAATAATAGATATCCATCCGTGCGTACATACATATAGATATTTAACTCACGAGAATATGAATACACATACATACACGTACGTACGTACACGTGTATATACAAACACATACACCCATATACTAACGTACATTACAATTCCTTTTGAGATATATCCAATATTAATAGTCTCGATTTCTCATTTGAATTGCTGAATGAAGTGTATTAAAATAATAATTAAATCCATATATCAAGTTATACGAACAATCCACAATGCATATATATAGCTATTTGTATAAATGTACATGTATATAATCTACAAATTGGTTTTTATGGTATATACTATAAATGTGGGCTATCGAATTAGTTAATATTATTATTAAGTACATGTATATAAGTACCTCTAATTAATTATACATACGATCGAGCTATTTTCCGTTGCATTACTTCATGGTTTTGTGTTTTACCGATTCTCTTGAATGGAAATCCGTTTGACTCTTTTTAAACTTTGAAATAGTTATAACAAAGTAAAAAAAAACTGATCTGGACATATTCCTATTAAATTTAATATGCTTTTAAGGTCAATTTCTCTCCAAAACGAACTATAAAACTTGATGTTGTGATTTAACTTTTAATTCTTATTATTTATTTTTTTTCAATGCATTTCAATTCTTCTCTATTTTTGTATGAAACCTCCTAGCTACCTAACAATCGTGTCGCAACTAAAAGTTGCGTATGTATGTGTATATATATATATATATATATATATATATATATATATATATATATTTACAATATTCTATAAATTCGACCGAAATATATATATATATATATATTTCTGTATGTTTCATTTAGATCATATATGTTTATATATAAGTATGTAAACCGCGGAAAGCAAATACTACGGACTTTTATGGGTTTTCTGGATAGATATATTTTTTTCTGTTTTTATCTGAGTGAGAATTTCGTGTGTAGAAACTTCGTTATAAACATCTGCTCATTCCATCCGCCGAACATTGGAAAATGGAAATTATTTTTATTTATTATTATTATTTTTTATTTATTATTATTATATTATTATTATTATTATTTATTTATTATTATTTATTTATTACTGCTCTGTTTATTATTATTATTATTATCTTTATCGCGTCGTCGTCATCTTTCCAGCGATCATACATGCATATATTTTGTGGCTATAACAATATAATAATATATAACATATATATATATATATATATGACATAAATATATATATATATAATATTTTAGTATTTCTTTTGCTGCTGCTGCTGCTTCTGTTATTGTGTATTTTGTCTCTTATGGCATGTTAAACTTATATGCATATATATTTAAACAGACACACACACACACATACACACACACACATATATATATATATATATATTAATGATTTTATTAGCTGGTTATATATTTATCTGCAATGTCTCCCTCAAATCATTACTATCATTGTTTCACCAATAACATTACCCATCTGCTATGATACAATAGTGCTAAAAATAAGTAATTATTCAATATTTTTTAGTATTATAATAATGATTATAATATATATATATTTATTGTTATTTTATTATTTGTAATTATTTTTGAAATCACGTTTTTTGGTTTTAGGCTAGTGAAATATCATTTGTTTGAAGACATGTATATAAGTTTATAAAAAAAATTATAGATAATAATCAAGGTTTATCTATATATCTATCTATGTATCTATGTATCTATCTATCTATCTATTTATCTATCTATCTATCTATCTATCTATCTATCTATTCAAATTAATAATTACATGCAAGAATTTTCTTCACTTACTTTTATTTAGTTAAAAGAGTCTTTCTTATCCTATATATAATTCTCACAAGGTGCCAAATACGATATCATATAATTGATACCTCCCATTTTGAAAATGATACCATAATCAGCAAATAATAATACTAACACGTTGATAACAACATATTATTTAAAGAATATATCCATATGGGTTTAATTCGTGTACCGTAAAAATAATTATTAATTGTTTTTGGTTATTTATTGGTGTTTATAATATATTATTATCTTCATTATTATCTTTAATTATTAATATTTATTATTCCTGTATTTATTTATTACCTTAATACTATTATGGCTACGTACACTAGGAAATGATTCGTTTAAGTTTTTTTCTCTTTGAAATGTTCTTTGTATGATAGTTTCCCGCTTTGTATATCTATCTAGTATCTATCATTGTTATCATTACATAAATATATATTTTTATATATACATATATATATATATATATGTATATATATGTATAAATAATATATATATATATATATTGAAACATACACACATTCATACATATTATCCAAACACACACATACATATATACATGCATACATACAAACAAACATACTAACAAACAAACGTGCATACATACATTCTAGCTTGTAACAAATGTCATATTATTGTCCCCATGTTGTGTTGTGAATACCTTTAGGTTTAATAATCAAATTCGTTCTTAAAATGTCAAATATTGTTATAATTTATAAATGTATCTCTATGTGTGTGTGTGTGCGTGTGTGTGTGTGGCGTGTTTGTGTGGAAACTTAAATATAATGTTTCATTTATCTATCTATCTATTTATTTATTCTTTCATCCTTGTTTTCGCATATAACCACTGTTAAAAATATAACTTCAAAGTGTGTACATCACGTTTCTTCTTTAAGTGATAATAAATTCGCAAGTCAATTCAGCCTTCGCCTTCTTAAAGAATTCAACAGGAAAAAAGTAACAGTGATGAAAGTAGAGAAAGCTGTGGCAGTATTAGTAGCGTAGTTGTAGCCAGTAGTAGCAGCAGTAGTAATGGTAGTGGAGGTAATAGCAGTTTATTTGACTTACTTCTTTTTCAATTTTTTGTTTTTATTCATTGGCTAACCATTTATTTATTGTTTATTTCATTTAATTATTTGTTTAATTGTTTTTAAATTTTTTTTTAGTAAGCTTACCTAATGAGATACGATTCTCAAAAGCTGTACCATACCTATCCAATCCATGTATGTATAAATATCAAGAAAGCATGACCAACATCTCCAAAAAACATCATACCGTAAATAAGTTTCCAAGTTTTATTTAATAACTTTACAAATAAATATACGTCAATCGATGAAATTGTTTTAAATAAGTTAACACGAAATGTTAAAACTAAGGCAGTTTTATGTATCAAAATAAAACCATTCAACAGATGCATCTACCTATGCAGAGTTAACAACAGCTTTTAACATTGATAAACCCTGGCACTTTGTCGTTATTATTACAACCATTATATGCATTATTCTTCGTATTGTTATGATTATTTACAATATTATTATTCATTGTTTTTCTTATTTCCACTCTTGCTATTTTTGGAGAATCTTTGATTTTCGAGACAGTCGAAATTCATTCCTGGCATGCAGTGTTTCAGGTAGTGCAGAAATCTGTGGAATTGAACATTAATAGTTTTATTATTAAAACATATAACATAATTACTTATCATCATTATTATTATCATTAATTAATATTAATCAAAAATTGCTCATCGCATAATCAAAATTGGCTTAACAGTTAATGCATTAAAGTTAATTTAATCACTTTCTAAAACAATTTCCGATTATCTTAATGTCTTGTCTAAATAGTTCTTCACGTTAAACATATCACATAGACACACACACACAAAAAAAAGACAGACACACACACACACACACACACAAAGACAGACAGATACACTCAGACAGACACTATCTTACCTTCTTCTCGTGTTCGTTTTCTTCCTCTTGCTCTCCACCTTGCAAATGCTTTTCAAACATGGGAGGTAGTCCGACATGATCATTCGCACGTCAGCATTCGGCCAATATAAGTTTAACTGACATATCATTGATTCTGTACTCTGCCAAGATCTGAATTATTTAAAAAATGTTGCAAGTTGATTAAATAATTTTCTACGATTGTAACAAAACACGAAGTTTGAAAATCTGGGAAAAATTTAGAAAAGAAGAAACAAAATTATACCTTCTTAATTTGTTGTAGTCAGCCGAATGATTCTTGAGGAGTTCACTGAAATAAAAATCAGAGTCCTTTGATTGTTGCTTGTTAACGTATCTCACATAGGTTCTATTGTATAAGTAATTCATAACTTGAATTGAATGATTAACGTGAGTGGAGTCTGAAAAATTAACGATGTCTGGATTTTGACCAATCACATCTTCTATTCCAGGAAGAAGAGGTTTTGATTGGCTGGAGAAAAGAGTTCCGTCTGAAATTTTATTTGATTGGGTATCGATCAATTGCTGATGCCGATGATGGTGATGATGCTGACTAAAGATGCAATCTATTTCAGATAACTTATCGCTCAATTTGTAAAGATTTTTTAAAGTGGCTAGCGAATTTGAAGGTTCAGTTTTTTCCGCGCCAGCTTCTGGAGGCAAGTTAACAACTGATTTATCATTTTTACTTTCAGTTTCCATTTTCACATTTGGACTTGCCGGCCTAGAATTACCTCTTTTGCTAAGTTTCAGTTTCAGTCTCTTACCTGCAGTAACTTGCCACTGGTTTTCCCCGAGATCCGGGATTTCTACTAGATGATTGGCAGAAGTGAGAACATTAGCGTTGGTAGTAGGATCGGGTGAATCATTTGGTTTATTTTTGACGTTACTCAAATACTGGATTAAATAACTATCGTAGAATGGTAGCGTGTTGAGAACGTGGTTTCCAACATATCTTCTATTGGAAGTCTGTGACGGTGGTGCTGCTGTTGATGCAATTGATGTTGTTGACGTCATTTTTGAATTTAAAAAACTTTTTCTCGACTGCAAAGATGGAAGAAAATTGGAATGCAGGATTGATGACAGATTACCGCAACAATCATCATCGTTGTCATCATCCTCATCACCAAACACAAATTTTTTGCTCAAACCATAGACTGGAGTAGATTCGCCACTGACCAAGTCATCATCATCATTAGTCATCAGAACGTCGTCATCAACGTTGTTATCACCATCAACGTCATCATCATCGTCGTCATCATCATCTGCCTCTTCGTAAATAACATTGGTTCTTGCATTATTAGATCTCTTAAACACTGTTTGAAAATCATCGTCACTGAATATATCATCGACATTATGATCTTCATCATTGCCGGCGTTATTGGCATTTCTGCCTTTGTGCTTAAAAAAGTGGCATATAGCTGTGAATGTGGTTGGCTGTGGTGGCTTTCTCCGATCATTTTTATCCTTTTGCTCCTGACTATCTGAAGCTGTGTTTTCTTTACTATTATTATTGTTGTTGTTGTTAGTTATATTGTCACCGTTATTATTATTACTATTGTTATTGATGACATTTCCATGATCTTTGGTAGTTTTTGTCGTACCTCCGTTATTTTCTAGGTGTATTTTCTTATACACGATTGGCTGATAGCTAATCAAATCAGTTACCTGATTGGTTGTGAGGCATAGCTGAAGCTGCAATAAGCATCTTCTGACGTCGTGGTTGAAGAAATCAACCAGCCAATCAACGTCTGCGCGGTTGACCTTGAACCCTTCGGCCAAACAAATCAGCTGTAAGTAGGTTACTAAGGTGATCTGGGGAAAAAAATGTTAATAATGATTGTGTATGTCATTGTAAAATATATTATCACGTTATTACAGAATAGTATATTTTGTGAAGGTAATGATAATTATGAATAATGAAGAAAATGACAAATATAATGAAAACAAACAACTAAAAATGATAATAACACAATAACATAACTGAACAACATAACAACATAGCACGACAACATAACACAACATGACGTCGAAACAAACACACACACAAATGCCTACCTTCTCAGGTTTCATCAAGTTGATAGCCTCTATATCTGAATTAAATCTTTCACGAAACCTTTCATCATTCGTCGTAAGGACGATCGGGCGTTTGGTAATTTTGATAAACTTTTGAACCGCCGATAGAAAGCCTCTGTCTGAGTTGAACACTATGTCAACCTGCGGAATTTATACGGAGATTTTATGAAAATTGTTGAATATTTAAGCTATTTTCAGTCTTAATATTCAATTTAAATATTTTAAAATATAAATTTTGTACCATAATATGTGCAATATAATAGGATTAATCCAGCAAGGATAGTATAGACAAAAGAAGCTTAAACTAACAATAGTTTAACCGATGTTAGTTTAGATTAGAAAAAGATAACTGAAGATAGCTTAAAACAAAAATAATTTAGACAAAGATAGTTTAACCAAAGGCAGTTAAATTAAGACTTAAAAATTATTAATATAACGCACCTCGTCAAATAATATAAGCGACATCTTTGTGTTGATAATGCTGCTTGGTAACTCCTCACTACTCATCTTCTGAATCTTGGCCGGCCGGCTGGTAATGTTTGAAGTCGATTTAGTCTTCTTTAGCTGTTTTCTGCCTGGCTTATTTTCTGATTTTTTGGGAAAAAAAAGATTAATTTCTATTTATAGAGAAATTATATATAAACGTTTAATTTATATTTATAAAAAAATTATAAATAAATATTGAGACAAATTTTGCTTACTTTCAAATGAAATTTTGTGAAAAATTTTGGCTGCAGTTGGTGGTTTGTTAGCTTTGCTTTTCTTGATGTCATTAATGGCTTTCTTTATTTTGGTGGATGTGGTTTTTAATGTTGATGTTTTTGTTGCGATTTTGGAAGATGTTGACGGTTTCAGATTGAAAAAATTCAACAGGGTTGTGTTGCAGTTGTTGTTGTTGCTTGAGGTACTTGCGATTGTAGTTTCGTTGTCTTCAACGTTTTTAACTTTGAGTGAGGCTTTCCGTTTTCGTTTTCTTCTGTACTTTCCACCATGATAATCATCATCTTCACTTTCATCATCATTTTCATCTTCATCTTCTCCGTCATTTTCACCTTCATCTTTATCCTCCTCTTCCATCTCTTTCCGCTCGTCACCACCGTCAAATTTGACAACATCAACATCACTATCAATGACCTCCGTGTTGACCTGCTTCCTGGTCTGCAGTTGGTGAGATTGTGTAGCTTCTTGCAGCTGCGTCAGCACGTGCCGGCCGTCGCGACTCGATGATGAGTTCACTTCGAAGACCTAACAAAATTTGAAAATCAATCAATCATTTATTTGTTCATTCATTATTTCATTTATTCAATCAATCAATCCATTGATCAATTGACTAACTACCCAACCAATCAACTAGCCAATCAACCAATTAATCATTCAACCAATAGACCAAACAACCAGCCAAACAATTAACCCACCAAAGCAACCAATCATTCAACTAACTGACCTTGAACCCAAGTTCACGGGCAGCTGCATAGACCATGCACGTTTTGCCCACGCCATGTTTGCCCACGATGATCATTGAGTTACTGCTGCTGCTGTTGTTGTCATTTGATGCATTGCTGTAGCTGTCGTCTTCTCGTAACCAATTTAGAAGAAATATTTTTATATTATAAAAGTATTAATGTTATTTACATTTGAATGAAATTAAATGTATTTGGAGTATTCTTGAAGAAGGAAGAGATAGTTTAGAAGAGTAAAAAAATGATGAAAAACCCACCATCATCATAGAATTCCCCATTCCCAGTCATGTGACCAAGTTTCAGTTTCCATTCATTTAGCCAATCATGCATTCTCCTGCAAGATGGCCTATTTCCAATGACCTCCTTCAAATCTGTTGGTCGATATTTTTCAGTCCACAGGGATTCTTGGCTGGCGTTTGCATTCGGGCTAATGTTATTCAATCTATCGGAATTCTTTTTCAACTTAAGTTTGCTGTAGAACTCAAAAACTGGGAACAACACGTTGCTTGTTTTGATCTCAGCTAAAATTTGATTGACATGCACCTCCGTCAACGGTGATGACGACGAGGATGAGGAAGATGGAGACGGCAAGTTTGTTAAACATTTCAACGTTCCATCCTTATCCGTCATCATCTTATTTATATCCAACTTCAGCACGGAGACAGGTTTAGTTAAGTAAATCTGCTGAGATGATGACAGATATGATGATGATGGTGGTGGTGGTGGTGGTAATGATGGCAGATGGAATTCAGATACTGCTGCTGCTGTTGTTGACAGGAAGAGTAGCTCATCTTCTGATAAAGAGTTGACGTGACTGATTGGCGGGAAGGAGTGAATGAGCGAATCCACAGTAACCTGGATGAATGAAATTTAAGAAATTGTTTTAACAATTCAAAGAATTAAATAAGGTATGACATCAAAAAAATGACATACTATAAGTTGTAATATTTTAATACACTATCATATCATTCCATTTTTATGTCACCACCCTCATCATCACAGCATGCAACACAATCACCGATTCACTATCATCAAATGATACCACTATCATCAAATGATATCACTATCATCAGACTATCGATCAGTACTACCTTGAGTGCCACATTATCAGTGTACTTCTTCAGAACATCCGGCACACCGCTCATCAAAAATAACCTCCTCCTTTTGTCCATTTCCTGTTTCAATCTGTCCATCTCTACACTTTTGTTGTTTTTGGTGGGTTTTGATATGGTAAATATAGATGCCATCTTGTTTTCTGGTGGCTGTTGGTGGCGTTGTGACTTTCGTTTTTGTTGCTGCTTCGTCGACTTCGAGATTTCTGCAAATGAGTAAAATTAATTTATTATTAGTTAATTGTTAATTTCAAAATTAATAAACATAATGAAATTGACGTTCTAACTAAAATAAAATTATTAAATAATATTATTACTATTTGTTTTAAAAAATATTTCAACCAACCTTTACTCTCACCTAATATAAAGTCCCCATCACCATCATCTTCACCGCAATCTACATTATTATTATTATTATTGTTGTTGTTCATCATTTTCATATTCAGCCTTGAACTTCTTCGAACTAACGATGTTGTTTCCACTGTTATAACCGGTTCATTGGAGTGTAATTTATTATTATCATCGCTATTATTATCATTATTAATATTTTTTCTATCACTATCATTATTAATATTATTACCATAGTTGTTTTCATTCTCCTGGTGAACTTTTCCATCCAGATCATCATCATCATCGATCACAACAATCTTATCACTACATCCCACGTTGTTGCATTTGTCATCGTCGTCGTCCTCATCACCATCATCATTCTTACCACCAGCAACATCACCACTGCCATCTTTTTGTAAGTTTAGTTTAACTCTTTGACTGAAACTCTTCTTACTTCCAGACGATGATGACGACGACGACGATGATGATAATGATGAGATAGGTATAACTGATGATGATAGCGATGACGGTTGAGCTTGTGCTGATGGTAATGATGATGTTAACTTAGCGGCTTTTGGTGATGAATTGTATTTAACACCACCACCATCATCATCATCATTTTTATTATCATTGCTTGGTTCATCTGTATCACTATCAAGGATTTTTCTTCTTTTTCTAATATGTAATGTATCATCATCATCATCAGTGTCATTATAACCATCCTTGTGATCATCATCATCATCAATTGATGAATCAATAACCACACAATTCTTTGCACAGATTGCATCATCATTTTGAGAAATCATCTCATTATCACTGCTGTTGTTATTATTACCATTATCATTATTATGATTACTATTGTTATTACCTGATGGTAAAGCCCTTTTATTCCAATTGAACTTGATCTTCACATTACTTTTTTTGGCTGGAGGGATGTGATCATCATCATCTTCTTCATCATCATTATCAGCTGATAATCTTTTTCTCTTATTTCCTGTAGTAGTGGTAGTATCAGTAGTGGTAGTAGTAGCAGCAGTAACATTACCATCTTCATCAACTAATTTTACACTGTTATTATAATTGCTTCTGCTATAAACATCATTTGCAGTAGCTGAAGCAGATGTATAAGTAGAAGTAGTAGTAGTAGTATAAGAAGTTGCAGCAATGGAAGTTGTAGTAAGAGTGATATTGGAAGTAGCTGCAACTGCATTGATAGCAATACTAGTCTGTTTATTCCTTGTTGGACATTTTTGGACTTGTTTGAAATTTTGTAGAAAATTCTGTTTGGCAATTTTTTTCATTTTTTCTGCATAATTTGGGTCGACAAATATTTTCAGACCTAGGACTTCAAAATCGCCATCTATATTATTGCCATCAGCAATACAATCCTTGCTGTCGTTGTTTGTGATTTCAATGACAACTTTCATGGAGTTGATATCTTCAACTGTGTAGTCACCAACTTTGCATGATGTTGTTGTTTTTGCAGTTTGAGTGGGCAGATCTACATTGTCAATCATCGCCAATTTTGATGGTGGTGAAGTTGATAAAGCTGGAAGAAGCTGACATGATGACGATTGATTGAGGTTTACCAGGTTTGACAAGCAAGAATCATTTTCTAAATTACAAATTTTCTTATCAACAGGATGTAGATCCATAATTTGTGATGACATTGTCTCAATTTTTGATAAATTGTTCAAGTTAGATCTATTTTTCTTGTTAATTAAGCTTTTTTTACCAGACTTTTTTATCTTTACCAGTTTGTTGCTATCCAGTAGCTTGTTGTTATCAGCTGATTGTGATTGACAACCAGACTCAATTTCATGAATATAAGCGCTGAAACTAATCTGTGGTGGTGCAGCTGAATGTGAGGAGCGTCTGTTTTTTATAGCAGTAGCAGCAACTTTAGTAGTGGCAAGATCTGCTGGCCGTTTTGAGAAGAATTGAGTGATCTGTTTGCTGATTGGTGCTGGAGTGCTGATCCTCAAATCGTCAATGTGTTTCTCTGACTCCTCCCTCCCACTGACAGCTAACTCGAAATCTTCATCTTCATTTTTTTCAATTTCCTTGTTTATCTTATTTTGAATTTTTGTGCTACTTTTCCGATTTTTATTTACCGGCGATTTCATTGAAATAAACTTTTCCATCGCAATAAGTGAAAATAAATGAGGAATAAATTAAAAAAATTTAATTTCAGTGTAACTCACGAACCTCGGCTATATATATACATACAACAAAGTTTTGTTTACAAATTCAAAGTTTACTTTTAAGCTAAGGTTGCGCGCTAAATATATATAGTAAAATGTGGAGCAGCGATCAAAATGAATTTACGACTCTGGCAGCCGCAAAGTTATACATAGAATCGTTAAATAGCATTTCGTATTATACAAGTTATTTCAAATTTACGATTAAAAGCTCAATAAAAATTTTTATTTTACAATTAATAAATTAATTATTATTTTATTAAACCAAGGGGAGGCCTATTTACCATTAAACAACACTTTCTTATGGGTAGAAGCAGGGATATGCAAAGAATCTCAATTTTTGCAACTTTTAATTATTTTTGGTAATGTCGATTTTATTTGTTTAAATTTATACCAAATAAAAGTGATTAATTACCATATTGAATAACAATTTAAAAAAATAAAATTTTAACATTTTAAATAAAGGCAAT